AATCTAGTCATTAACTTGTTTGAATTGATAAATTGAAGGAAACATTATCATTAAACATTTGAAAGATTTGGGGAGGGATGGGGCCAGGTTGAAACAGACATGTCATGGAAGCACTTGCCGCTCTTTCCCAAAGTTGTTACTTACGCGGCAAAAAGGTTAAAAGTAAAAACTCTATGATGACGTGGCCACTGTGTTTTTTTCCGGCGCAAGATAGAATCCTTAACATACTTCAATCTAACGTGAGCCTGTGTGTCGATTTACCAAACCTTAAACCGTAAACATGTTATATAGGATCCTTTGCTCTATCAAGTTCTTGCATGTTATTGTTTACATGGATGAAGTTTAAAAACATATATCACAATTAGAAGAAAAGTCCTATGAAAGTCATTCTCCCCTTATCATAAAAAACGTTGAATAACGTGAAAGGAGACCATGTCTTTTTTTTTTTTTTTTTTAAAGATTTGAATGGATTCTAATAGTTATTGTTTTTGCATCTTGTAACGGACACACGCGAATTGCCACGTGTTTCCCGACGTTAAGGCAAGGTAAGAAAATCTGAAAACGATATTCACTTGCACGAACATATCCTACGTAATTTTTAGATTTACGCTGTGTTTATTTCTATTGATATATGTTGACGAAGACAGAAGTACGAGGATGACACACGTTTGATTGAACAAAAATATGACGAAATGAAAGCGAGGAAAAGCGGAAGATGGGAGAAAGAAGTTCTTCGCTTATGCAGGAAGAAAAGAGATGAAAGTCCCCAGGACAAATTAAAATATCCAACTTACCCTCACTCTGCAAGATTCACTAGGGCATGCATGCAGAGATATTCTTATATTAATTACTGCAAAAAGTTGAGAAAATAAATTTATATTAATTTTCAAATATAAAATATAACTTATTTTAATTAATATATATATATATATATAATTTATATTAATTTTCAAAATATAAAATATATATTCCAAAATATAACTTATTTTAATTATATATATATATATATATATATATAATTTTACATGAAAATATTTTCAAATAATCGAGACTTAAGATAGCGGTTAACGTGAAACCGCTATCGGATGTTCACTTTTAAGAGCGGTTAATATCTTAACCGCTCTTAAATGTGAACATATGATAGCGGTTACAGAGTTAACCGCTATCTAAAGTGTCGATTATTTGAAAAATTATATATTCTAAAATATAATTTATTTTCATTTCTATAATATATATATATATATATATATATATATATAAATGAAAATAAGTTATATTGTGGAATATATATTTTATATTATAGTAATTAATATAAATTATATTTTAGAATATATATATATATATATATATATATTTAATTCTAAAATATAATTTATTTTCATTTCTATAATATATATATATATATATATATATATATATATAAATGAAAATAAGTTATATTGTGGAATATATATTTTATATTATAGTAATTAATATAAATTATATTTTAGAATATATATATATATATATATATATATAAATATAATTTTACATCAAAATATATTCAAATAATCGAGACTTATGATAGCGGTTAAAGTGGAACCGCTATCGGATGTTCACTTGTAAGAGCGGTTAACATCTTAACCGCTCTTAAATATCAACATATGATAGCGGTTCCAGGTTAACCGCTATCTAAAGTTTCGAGTATTTGAAAAAGTGATAGATCATTTTGAAAAAGTAATCGATCATTTGAAAAATTAATTCTTCTAAAATATAATTTATTTTCATTTCTATAATATATATACAAATGAAAATAAGTTATATTGTAGAATATATATTTTATATTATAGTAATTAATATTAATTATATTTTAGAATATGTATATATATATATATATAAATATAATTTTACATTAAAATTATATATTCTAAAATATAATTTATTTTCATTTCTATAATATATATATAAAAGAAAATAAGTTATATTGTGGAATATATATTTTATATTATAGTAATTAATATAAATTATATTTTAGAATATATATATATATATATATATATAATTTTACATCAAAATATATTTAAATACTCGAGACTTTAGATAGCGGTTAACCCTGAACCGACATATCCATGCAAAACCCTACCTTTCTTTGTTTTGTGATGTGTGGAAATTAATTTATTTCCACGGGCTTAGGTAAGACATTATTCACTATTTAGTATATTTGTAGTTGCTGATATATTTTTCAGTTATAAATATCATATAGATCACATTAAAAACAAGTGTCGTGATTGAGACAAGTTATTGATGGAACAAGTTTATTAATAACTTTATTATGTAATATAACATCTCGTTAACATTCAAATGTAACAGTATTTTACTCAGCTGCATCCAACACTTGTCATCATTCCATCGTTAACAAAATGGAAGTTGAAATTTGTGTAATTGGACCAATATATTTTCTAGTGAGTTTGGCATTTTGGAATAAGTTCAGTATTTATTTATGTTTTTAAAATTGGATTGTTCAATTAATAGATAAGACACCACTTCAAGTTTTAAGTTCAATAAGATGGAACTGAAATTAATAAAATAATACTTTTATAATATAATATGTAATAAATTTATTAATAATATTTTCTTTATAAAAAAAATAAAAATTATTGTCATCATTACTATAAGTTATATTGAAAATTATAAATATAAAATATATTAAAATGTATAAAATAAATAATTGTTAAAATAAGATAAAAATATAATCAAATAATTATTATTTAAAACTAAAGTAACTAATATGATATATATATATATATATATATATATATTATATCTTTTATAAAAAATATATTAAAAAAATTAATTATAAATTTTTTTTATTGTCAAAACTGGTTTAACTTAAAGATCTCAGTCAATTTTTTTTTATTTTACCAATTTTATCTCGATTTTACATTCAACTAAAATTTGATTATTTGAAAATAATATATCGATTTTTAATTTGGTTCCACATATTTAACCTGATGACCCACTCCATTAAAAAAAGAGAGTGATATTTACAAAATTATTATCTCTAGTTTTTAGTGGTAAACTTTTGAACTTCTTGTACTTTAGAATTTTTATATTGAAGTTATTTACTTTAAAAAGTTTTAAATTAAATTTTTTCTTCTTTATTTACTTGTTTACTTTTAATTTATGAAACTTATATTTTGTATTGCTTTTTATTCATTTCTCATGCTTTCTAGACTTTTACCATTAGTCTTTTTAATTTAAATTTTATATTATTGATTGAGATTTAATTCTTTCATGATTTAAATAGTTTATAATTAAATGTAATCAATATAATTTTTTAATTTAATTAATTATATAAATAAATTATAGATTTATGTAATTACTCTTTATAAAATTGATTTGTACCTCTAGATTAATTAAAAGAAGTTAATCAATTAAATCTAACCAATTGACTTATGAATTTAACTTCTAATTATTTTTATATTTAAATTTAAAAATTAATTAATGAAAAAAATTTAGAAAATTAATCATTACTTTACATATACTTTTAAACTTTTATTGATTTTTTATTAATTTTTATTATAATTATATTTTAAATTGCTTTTGGTTAAAGATTATGCTTAAAAAATTCATAAATATTATATCTATTATAATTACCAATAATATTCGTGAATATATAGAGTTTTTTTTTAATTATTACATTGTTTAAAATTGTTTGTCCACTTTATAAAAAAGAATGTTATACTTCTAAAGTAAATTGGTGAAGTATATTCTTGTTACTAGTGCAAAAAACTTATCAACTAGTATAGTAAAAAAAAATAATAAATTTGAGAAAATTGTAGTTCAAATTTTCTTCATAAGAGGGTCCCTCATTTAGTATAAACTATAGTTGTTAACTTCCTTCCATTTTTGTTGACCTTATTTTTGGCTAGTTAAAATTGAGACAGGTTAGATTGTTATAGTCATAACAGGTTGTAGATCTTGATCCGTTTTGTTAAAGGACGGGTTGACCCACCATAATTTAGAAAAAATATAATTTTTTTAAAATCAAAATTTTTAATAAATTTAATAATAAAATTATGATTTATTTATCAATAACTTAACATATATATTTTAAGTTAATAATATAAATCAAAAACATTATTTTAAAAAATTATAATTTAGAAAAATAATAAAATTTATATAATAATAAATATATATAAATAATACCAAAATTTGTAAAATTTATATTTTTTATATTAAAAAATTTAAATATCTATATTTTTTTATTTAATAAAACTTCACGTTATTCTCCTTTTAAATAATTTTTATATTTTTAATTCAAATCATAAAAATAAAAACAATTAAAATAAATAAAGAGGACATAATCAATAAGAAGATGATAAACAACAACAAATAAATAAAAAAGGAATTTGTATTTAAGTTAGAAAAATATTTCCTATAATAAATAAGAATAAATTTTTTTAATTCTTTTTTTATAAATTTTTATTAAAAAATATTATCTTTATAATTAACTATATTATATAATAAAAATTTATCTTTTTATTAATTTGATGAATAGCCTAGCCTGCCTTATCTATAGATTGGATTGACAGAATAGTCTAATCAAGTCAAAGGTCGGGAATCAGTAATACCTAAGCCGTTTTCTTATCTAAAATATTTTAAATATGTATCTTTGGTGGGTCCCCTCGACAGTTCCAAAAGTGAAATACACCAAATCCTGAGATTTTTTATAACCAAAAGAATATAACAAAAAATGTTATATTTCAGTTCAACAATTTGTCAATTAGTTTATAAAACCTACTTATGGTACAATAATTTACACTTAAAATGATTGACATTTTTGCTAATCTTATTCTACATCTTATATAGATCCTCTCACACTTGATTAATAAAGAGTACCTAATTACAAAAAATCAAATTCAGATTCTAGGAAGTTTATTTAATTTTATTTATTTATTTCTCTAAACCTCAAATCTTGTGGCCTCGCCTTATCATCCCCCTCTGGAACTACAACAACCATGGGTGCTACAATTTCGGCTATCGTAATTTTTCTCTTGTTCATGCATCTTGGAAGAAACACACACCCTTATCATCCCGAGAAACCTCTCTTGTACCAGTGTATTTTTAATAAATACTTTAATTTCACAAAATAGGTGGAAAATATCACAAAATAACAAATATTTTGAAAAATAAAAATCAACTTTCTATACTAATTTCAGCTAAAACTAATATCGAATATATGTATTTTTAAATCGATTCTTTTATACTCGACGTGAATTCTCTTAATTTTTAATGACGTTTTTTTATAGGTGAAAAATATCACAAAATAATAAATATTTTAAAAAATAAAAATAATTTTTCTATACTAATTTCAGCTAAAACTAACCTCCAATATATGTATTTTTAAATTGATTCTTTTATACTCGTTAATTATCTTAATTTTTAATGATGTTTCTTTTTATAGGTAGAAAATATCACAAAACAACCAATATTTTAAAAAATAAAAATCAACTTTCTATACTAATTTCAACTAAAACTAACATCAAATATATGTATTTTTAAATCGATTCTTTTATACTTGATATTAGTTCTCTTAATTTTTAATAACGTTTATTTTTATTACAATTTGAAAATTAATGTATATATATATATATATATATATATATATATATATATATATATATATAAATTATAGAATCTATATTGAATGTTGTTCTTCAGCAATTTTTTTATTACATAAAAATAAATATTTAACTTACATAATACACATATTAAATTAGTAACTCATTTTACAAGTAAAGTAGATATATATACTAAGAGTTTTCTGATCATAGATCATCTATTAAAAAGTTTGAGTCATGCATGGTATACACAACATATATGCATATTATGTACAAACTAGTTCTAGTGTGAATGAGAAGTTGCTAAAGGGGGAAGAAAATGCTTTTTGTTGGCGATGGGGTTTGATATTTGTGTGAATCACATTAGAGTGTATTTATGGTACAGGAGAGGTTTCTCGGGATGATAAGGGTGTGTGTGTGTTTCTTCCAAGATGCATGAACAAGAGAAAAATTACGATTTGCTATAATAGTCGAAATTGTAGCACCCATGGTTGTTGTAGTTCCAGACGGGGATGATAAGGCGAGGCCACAGGATTTGAAGTTTAGAGCAAAAAAATAAATAAAATTAAATAAACTCCCTAGAATCTGAATTTGATTTTTTGTAATTAGGTACTCTTTATTAATCAAGTGTGAGAGGATCTACATAAGATGTAGAATAAGATTAGCAAAAATGTCAATCATTTTAAGTGTAAATTATTGTACCATAAGTAGGTTTTATAAACTAATTGACAAATTGTTGAACTGAAATATAACATTTTTTGTTATATTCTTTTGGTTATAAAAAATCTCAAGATTTGGTGTATTTTACTTTTGGAACTGTCGAGGGGGACCCACCAAAAATACATATTTAAAATATTTTAGATAAGAAAACGGCTTAGGTATTACGGATTCCCCAACCTTTGACTTGATTAGACTATTCCATCAATCCGATCCATAGATAAGGCGAGACTAGGCTATTCATCAAATTAATAAAAAGATAAATTATTATTATATAATATAGTTAATTATAAAGAAAATATTTTTTAATAAAAATTTATAAAAAAAGAATTAAAAAAATTATTCTTATTTATTATAGGAAATATTTTCCTAACTTAAATACAAATTCCTTTTTTATTTATTTGTTGTTGTTTATCATCTTCTTATTGATTATGTCCTCTTTATTTATTTTAATTGTTTTTATTTTTATGATTTGAATTAAAAATATAAAAATTATTTAAAGATTGTTAAGTCTCGGGTTGTATTTCGCTTGAGCGACACTATTCTTGCTCGAAGCGAAATCCGATTCTGATCGATTAGATTTTAAAAATGATCGATCATATTTGATAATTTTTTCAAATAATTAATTATAATCGATTAGTTTTCTAAATTATTGATTAGAAATGATTAGTTTTTCAAATAATAGATTAGAATTGATTAATTTCAAAATATATATTAAAAAATTATAATTAAAAATATAGATTATTTAAGAATATTAACTATTGTAAAGATAAAGTAGAACATGGGAGGAGATGAGGATGATAATATAATGATAGAAGTTACAAAAATGTAGAATTGAGAAGTTTGAAACAAAAAAAATTAAGAAAATAGAGATTTAATTACACTTTTAATAAATTGAAGATAATACTAGTTTTGATTTTTATTTTTAACTATTTATTTTAATTATTTAAAACAGAGAAACTATAATTTTAGTTTCTAAATACTCAATTTAAAGAATTAAAGTCATTATTATTTAATCTTTTAATTTTAGTATTAAAAATTTAAATTATATTTTATTAAATTAAAATAATTACAATATAATTTTCTACTTTGAGAATGAACAATATAATTAAGAAGATCAAGTCTAATGTTATTGATGCTAATTTTAACAATAATACAATAATAATATTTTCAAAAATACCCATATGAATGTGAATATTTTGATTATTATTATATAAAATAATTAAAAGAATAAGGTAAATAGAAAAGTAAAATGCATGGTTATACCACTTTCCTTTTAATCTATAATTAGTTAGGTATGAATCAAATGTAAAGTATAATGTTATTGATGCTAATTTTAAGAAGATCACAAAATGTAAATTAAAATAATTACAATATAATTTTCTACTTTGAGAATGAACAATATAATTAAACTCAAAATTGAGAATACTCTTATACATTTTTGAACTCTTTTGGATAAAATTTTTTTTCCTAATTTTTGATAAAGTTAATTTTAATATTTAAAAGTATTTAACATTTTGAATTTCGAAAGGTTTTCTCCAATAGCAAATTTAAAAACATAATATTCAAAAAAATATTTTAAGATTGTGAATTCTCGGGTTGTATTTCGCTTGAGCGACACTACTCTCGCTCAAGCGAAATTCGATTCTGATCGATCATAACTTGAAATGATCGATCATAATTGAGAGGATATAATAGCGGTTCCACTATAACCGCTATCTGAAGTGTATATTAGATAGCGGTTTAGGTTTAACCGCTATTAGAAGTTCCCTTTAAGAGCGGTACCAGTGGAATCGCTATCATATATAACCATATTTTAAGATTGTTAAGTCTCGGGTTGTATTTCGCTTGAGCGACACTACTCTCGCTCGAGCGAAATCCGATTCTGATCGATTAGATTTTCAAAATGATCGATCATATTTGATAATTTTTTCAAATAATTAATTATAATCGATTAGTTTTCTAAATTATTGATTAGAATTGATTAGTTTTTCAAATAATAGATTAGAATTGATTAATTTCAAAATATATATTAAAAAATTATAATTAAAAATATAGATTATTTAAGAATATTAACTATTGTAAAGATAAAGTAGAACAAACAAATTACACAGTTGATTAATCAAAATACTTTTATACAATTTTAAAACTATTATTATAATTTTTTTTAAATTGATCTTTTATTATTACATGACAATTGTTAAAACAAGTATTATTTATTAAATGTTTTATTTTATATTATTATTTTTTAAATAACATCACTTATATATTATTATTATTATTATTATTATTATTATTATTATTATTATTATTGATGGAGATTAGAAAAAAATGATATTGGAAGTCTATAATTAGGTCTAAAATTAAAAGGGAGAAGAAAATTTAATAAAATAAATTGATGAATATTAAAGAAATTACATTATAATTGATATTTAAAAAAAAATGTTTTTGTCAATACCCTAAACTCACCAAACAAAAAACTATCACATTTTAATTAGTAATTAAATTAAATAGTTATTTAAAATTTATATCTTATTTGTAGAATTTTGTTTTTAATCTTGTGGAAATAATTTCGTCTGGCTTTTCTTATTTCTCAAGTATTTTTCATTCTGATGATTAATGAAGCTTAGTGAATCATTAAGATGATTAGTGAGAAGTAAAATCTTATTAATATATTTACTTTTATTATTTTAAGGATTGTCTAGCCTTAGCCTACAAAGAATAACTTATGGAAGTTTCTCATTTTGAGAGTTTTCTGTGTTCTTGTTAATTTATGGTGACGACGAGTTACAGGTCACGGAAGTCCCCTTTTGGTCAAATTTTCAATCTTTCTTTCCAATTTTGAAGACCATTCATAATCATATTTATATAAATAAATAATCTAATTTAAAATCACTTAACACACTAATATATTACACCCTGGAACATAAATGTAAATTTTTTGAAATAAAAGTATATAAACTATAAGTAAAAAGACGTTGCATTTATAATATATTTAAATATAATTTTTAGAAAAATCCGATTATACTTAAACATTTTTTGTCATATATTTTGTTGAATAGTATATAGTATAATTTTGAAGTAAAGAGTGCTTCCATTTATTATGTCAGAACCTCAACCAACGACAAGCACAACAATATATTAGATGTAAAAAAGTTTATTCAAAACTCAATTTCTATAAATTTATTCAAAACTCTAAAAATATAGTGAGGGTTTATGGCATAATAAACTACATGCTAATATACTTCCTCCCCATTTACATTCCTAATCTCATCATTTCAATCACAAACAGGACTCCTAGTTTTGCATTCCTCATCTATTGTTCCTATCATAAGACTTTCTTTTCAAGTAGATGGAGGAATTTCCCAATTCTTTGACACCGGCCCAAAATCATAGATAACTTCTCTGTGACAAGACCATACAAGTTTTATGGCCTCTGGAGTACCAATTCCTGCACCTCTAGGATCACCGGCGGGTCCAAACCTGCAATGAAATTATTATTTCCAACATGACATCACTGGTCATTTATTTGCAAGTAAAAAAGTTAAATATATATATATATATATATATATATATATATATATATATATATATATATATATATCAATTTACCAATGATTCTGTGGAGCTCCGGTTGTCCTTGCTCTTAAACCAGCATAAGTAGTACCATTTACCGTCTTGCCAATGACTTCCTGCAAATATGTGGAGATCCCAACATAAAACAATGGCCATTCATGATAACGTTTCTGAATATATCAACTTATATATGTGCTCAGCAGACAAGTCATATCAATTTTGGAATTGAACTCTAATTACCACGGAAAATTCTTGCAGGCAATTTTATCTAATATGCAGAATAGATTTTAAATGTTCAGTATATATATATATATATATATGGTGTAATCGACTAAACCTCTATAATTTTGTTTCATGAATCAAATATGAAAGACGAGGAGTTCATGATTTTCTAACAAAAATGAGAAATGAGAAAATTTAAAATGAAGTTGATATGAGTGAGACCTAGATTTCAAAAATTGATGAATTGTTTCATGTCACATGCCCTAGAACCAGTAATAAGTTTGAGTAATAAAATCCTTACCTGCACAAATAAAGGATCATTCGAAACTACAGCAGCTGTCAAATGGTTATGCATTCTTTCCAAAGCATCCAATACAACTGATAGTTGACTATTTTTGTAATCGGTAATAATCTGAAAATATAAAAAGAAATTATTTATATCTCAACAGAACAAACTAATGTTATTTTTGTTTTAAACAACATGCATCTGCAAACTTCATTCTCATATTTTTTTAGTCTCCCTTCCCATACCTGAAAGGGTCCGAATATTTCTTGTCACAAGTTCAAAATTGTTATCCTTCATAATTTCCTCAAGAGGAACATAAACAGCTGTTGGTTTAATAGCACCATAAATAGACGGAATTGAATGATCCTCCAAAGGTCGACCTCCGAAGAGCAGCTTTGATCCTGGTATCTCAAGCAACTTATTGACATGTTCAAGCATAGAATCAGTCGTAACCTGCAACATATGAGATGAAAAATCAAGAATTCCAAATCAAGTAAATGAAAAACTAAATAAATATTACAACAACCTGTTTAGACGCATTATCTTTTATTGTTGTACCCAATGGCAGATGCATTATATCTTTCTGGTATTATTAACTTTGACTGGACTGGTCAGTTTGACCAGATGCCAGAAACTGAACCTATAATAGGTTCGGTTTGTCTTTCAAACGGGAATTGCATTCAACTTGTTTTAACTTGGGTCTAGGGGAATCACTTTTTAAATTCTAAAATTTGAAGAAGAAAAAAAAATAGTGCATGTTGTGGGAACCAAACACCAGTTTCAGTTTCAGTTTCAGATAATGGAAAAGGATTTATATTTACCAAGCTAAGACATTTGATTAATTATATGACAGTTGATTTATGTACTAGATATTCTCTATAATAAGATTTATATTTTTAATAAATAACGTACATGTAGTTTAAGCAATAGTCAACTAGTGATCTATTGACTTGTATCTTGACCAATCGGTCTAGTTTTTAATAATATTATTTAACTACAAGAATGTCACAAACTTCGAGCAAGCCACCAAAAAAACCATTAAATGTTAAATCCTGGTTCAATTACTTAAAGGGGGAGATGATGGACATGTAATACTTACTGTGAGGACTGGGCCAATTGTCAAGTCTGTCAACTTTCTTCTTTCAGCAAGATCTTTTAACTTCGATAGCAAGGAAGTTTTAGACCAGTTCTGAACCAGATAAATTCAAAACTTCTAGTTAGTTAGAGACACAATACATATAAAGTGTATTTTACAAAATAAAAAGTTAATGCATATCTTCACAACAGTTCTTGAAGACATATAATCATGAACAAAATCTCAAGATACCGAATGTGACAGACCTCGTGCATAAATAATAATGATTGGGCAGAGCATTTCTGACCACTGCATGCATATGCATCTTGATCACACACCCACGCAGTGTAATCTTCCTGAACCAAGAAACCATAGAGAAACTATTAATGAACAGAAAATTGAGTTAGTGCCTTTATCATGTCCAAAAAAAAAAATTGTAAGAAACCTGATGGACATCAGGACCCAGTATTTTCCAGTCAAATCCAGCATCTTCCAATTTAACACGGCCCCTCAAATCAAGGGCTAACTTCTCAGCCACTCTTGAACTACCAGTAAAAAGGGTCATTCGTGGATTTGCCTGTAAATTCAATACTACTTCATGATCCAATATCATCTTATAAAAGGAACATGTAACCATGTACAAATATCATCCGCAAAATGAACATTGACATTATCATGAAATAGAATCATAAATATAATCCTCTGCGGAATCAAAGCATTGGATGAACAGCCAACCAACCTCCAGTAACAGTTTGTTCATTGTCTTCCCGTCAGAATTTATGAAGTCTACATCTTCAACAGGTAAGCCACAGGTGTGAAGCAGACGTAACATTTGTTCCATGACAATGCTCACCTACAACAATTTGAGTCAATAATTCAGGATTATAACTGAAAAAAAAATTAAAAAATTAAAAAATTAAAAGCAAAGAGTTAACATTTCAGAAATCAAACAGTTTGAAGATGAAGACAAGAATGTGAAAAGGCAATAAATACAATGGTTTCTGTAGGCATGAACCCCTCCCCCAACACACATAAACGCACACACGTAAGAAAAAAAAAACATTGCATCACAACTATTTTCACCATAACTGATTGGATTAAATATCTCATGTAGCCCTAAAGCTAGCCCTGTATCAATTTTGAATTAAATGTCATAAAGTGTCCCCAAATCAGAGTCAAAAGAACTCACCTTGCTATCAACTTTAAGGACTGGTTTGTTGCCCATATAGAGTGCACCCATCAATTGAAGAACAGGAATCTCTAATGGAAAATTAAAAGGAGTAATAATTGCCACCTACAAAACACACTTTCAGCTTTAAGATTACAGTAGGAGTGATAGGTAAATGTTTATGATGTTCGAAAGAAAAAGAAAAAAAAAAAACAATCAATGAATTCACATACTAAATCAGACACCCATGAAAAAAAAAACTCTAAAACTTCTCCACATTGCAGCACTAATCTAAGAAAAATTCAATTCAAAACAAGAAAACATCTCATGATTTTCAATGTTTTATCTTGAGTAGAAGTCAAGTCAAACGATACAACATAAACCTTTTTGTACAAGAAAAAAAAGAAAAAAACTACTTTTAATCAAAGATAGCAATCATAGCATTTACCTCATAAAAGACTTAAGTTTTCTAGTAGGCAAGAATACCTGAGTTCAGGGTTTTGCCTTTATTATCATATGTAACTAATTGAAAGCGCATGCAACATTCTTTTTTTTTTTTTCTTTTTGGGATAACAGGCCTAAAGAATCAAAGGGAAATCAGCCACTCCTGCCGTGGCCATTATTGTACAACTGAATTGCGTGACCACAAGGTAATTGATAGTTTTGACACACCAAACAAAGCACTGGTTAGCAAATGAAAAACTCATTTTTTTCCTTTAGTATATAGCATATCAGGTAAACCAATGATAATCGTGAAAATTTTAAACAAAACATAATCCTTACAGGACCATAGGGCCAACGAAAACCATGACTTTGTTGTCCAAGATGATTTCCGGGTACTGCAAATGATCTTGCTAAGAAACGAACCTATCAAGATTTTGTTAAATGAAACAACAAAGAAGAAATCAATACAGGAATTATGAGATTATGAGCGACTGTCTCTACACATGTGCAAGTATCAGTGTTTAATTTTTCCACTAATGAAGAATCAAAGCATCAGCAAAATAAAGGAAATTGATCATATCTGTCAATCAATGGGTAATTTAGATTCTTTCATCAATCCATACAAAGAATGGTATATTAGTACTTAACATTTCATTTAATTAGCACTAGCATGTCTTATTTTGATATACCTGATCCCCGCAAAAATTCTCTAGAAACTTTTGTGTCACATACACTTCTCCAAAAGCCTGCTGGTAACTCTTTGGAGAAACTCTTTGTATTAACCTTGTAAAGAAATCTGAAACCTGAAGGCCATGCAGTATAATTTATTTAAAGCATCCAATGAAAGAAGAAAACGTTGATCTTGAATACAACAGGTACCAATATATAATAAATTAACATTAAAAAAATAATGATAAAATTAAATCATCTTTCTTGAATTTAAAACCTTAGGAAGTGATAGCATGTGAGCTGCCTTAGTAGATATGTCTCCATACATAAGATATCTGCAAAATATTTATAGCAAAAGCCATATTAAATTTCAAGAAGAGGGTGAAAATAAGAACATGAGAATAGATATCATGCTTGTAACTACAATGCCCAAGTCAGTTGATTTTTCTAAGTAAAAATGAAAGCTGCACAATGAGAAAATTTGTTTATTCTCATACTTATCATAGGCAGTTTTAGAATACCTGGGTCCCATGTATTTTAGTTACCCCTCTTAGGAGAAGTTTAAAACCAACCGGATGAGATAGAAAGTTCATTCTACCATCCAACAATTGTTAAGTCAGGAATTATGGAAACACACCTAAGCACTTCCATTCACACCAAACAAAATCAACGGAAAATAGCTTCAGGTTTCCGTTTCAAAAGAAAAATATTTACAATAAAGTCAGAAACAGTTGCATGCAGTTTTGTGAAGGAGGTAACCATTTATCCAACCAAAATCAATCTTATTCTTACCATTACCAGATCCATGAAGATAAATTTAAGCATTTTATGTACTTTCACATAATCAGTTGTCATTACAACTCCATGGCCTCTTAGTATATGTATGTACGTTTTGCATTGTTTTCTTCCTTTTTTAAATTTGAAAAAACATAAATCTATTGAAAAATCAACGATCCAAAGGTTTAATGGCTAGAACAGTGAAAAGGTTGGACCGTTTTCTAATAAAAATAACTCTCCACAGTATTGTATTTCAAGATGGTGTGTCATTTCAGCTGTACTTTGTTCTTGGGTAAGTCAACTGCAAATCTAAGTTTATAAACAAAATGGTAGAGATAATTTTATCAGTGTCAAGTTCCTGTCAGTGAAGTGTGAAAATAAGTTTTGAAATCTATCACTACAAATCCACACATTTCAGCTGAACCAAATCCACATAATCATCGCACATCAACACACCTAAAATCCATCCGTAACTACAGCACTCATCTGCAAACAAATGAAGCATTAGGGAAGGAATTCCAACTGCAGACAATTTAGCCAAATCCAGAGTTGGTCATGTAGATGTTGTTTTTGGTGCTCAAGCTTGTCATAATAGTTGGTTTGGTGATGCAACAGGCACCGTATTCACAAGACGCATGATTTTCCTTTTTCCAAGTATAAAGGTAATGCAAGTTACTACACGGAATGCAGTAACTCAAAAGACAAAAACTAGTGACGAAGAATTAATTTGAATCCATTGTTTACTTGAAGGATTCATACAATGACAAATGAAATTGCTACAACTTATAATTTTCAAATTCTCCTATATTATATTAATATTCCAAATGATTAATGTCAATGCAGAAAGATTTCGTAATATTTGCAAATGTACAAAAGGAGGCCCAGTCATTATATTAGAGAGAGGGATTTTAGAACAATGACAATGCTTGCAGGATTCTTAAAGTCTACAATTTTTCATTTATATGTGATTATATATTTATCCAGCTTGAAACCAGCTATATTAGCCTCCTTGCAGATCTCTTCGCACTTCGCAGTCCTCCCAGAGGCCATGTAAATTTGAAGCATGTCCTTGTATATGCCAAAAGTGGGAGAAAATCCAGCCTCTTTAAGTCTTGAAAAATATCTCATTGCCCTAGATAGATCATTCAGAGCAACAAACAGTTTTATTACCACACGATAAGCAGGAAGGTCAAAAAGGCAATTTGAAGCCTCCATCTCCCAAACTACAGTCAATGCCTCTCTGTATTTCTTCTCTGTGTAACGGCTGTGAATCACAGAAGTGAACATTACTATGCTTGGTTGATAGCCAGACTGCTTGAACCAACTAAACAGGCTCTCAACTACTTCGAATTTCCCCATCTTAGTGCATACTTTCATTATAGCGGTACAATCTTGTTGGCTTAAATTCAATTCATCTCGTTCTCCAAGTTCTTCTAACAAGGGCAACACACGCCTGTGTCTGTCAGGGTTCTTTCCAAGTTCTAATATTAACTTAGCATAAATGCTGGAATCCAACATTCTTTTATCCCTTCTGGCCATTACTAGAACCTCCCACGCAAGTCTAAGGTTTCCTCCTTTTATAAAACCCTTGATCATTGCCTCCAACACAACACGACTTGCCAAACCAGTATATCGGTCTATGTTCAATGGAATTCTTAACTCATGATTCTTGGCCAAGACCTCAACAGTTGAGGCCAGAATCCAATCATCAGGGAAGAGATGAGGTTGATTTTGTGCCCATAAGAATGTTTGCAAAGCTCTCTCAGGGAATCCCATATGACCTAGTTCCCTTATTGTTAATGACAAGGACCCTTTCCTCAGGAACTGCACCCACTTCCCAAGAATTTTGGACACATCTTCAGCTGGACCAAGCCTACTTATTTCTCTTGCCAACCCAACTAGGAAACTAGGGCTTTTATACACTTTCTTAGCCATAGAAGCCCGGGAAGAAACAACAGCTGGAGCTGTCAATTTCACTTGTGATTTTGGTTTAGGTAGCCCCAAAGGTCGGAGCCTGTGGGGAGATGGAAGAGGAAGAGGCCTTTCTCGATGCAATTTTCCAGGTTTTTGTGGAATTCTACCTTGGAAAAGTGATGAGATGGCTTCAAGCTCATCTGATTCCCAAACAACACCAATATTTCCATCTTCCTCTTCATCATGCTCTTCCTCGATATCTAAATCATCCTCAGTTGGTTTAGAGGTGGTGCTAGGCTTCTTCAAGAACAGATTAACACCAAAATCTGGAGGTTGCTTGGGATGGGGTCGATACCGATTATCCTTTCGTGGTCTACTTCTCCTTTTCGAATGTGCTGCTAAAGTGATACTTTTGTAGTTGCACCAAATTTTTCCCACCGGAACAAAATGAACACCGGGAAATGACAATGTGCAGTACATTATTCACAAGTATGAATTAAAAATATTGTTGATGCATTGCCTATTAGAACCTGCACAGAAAATGATCGTCATATGTGTAAATAGATACCTCAATGACTGAGTAGGACTTTCATCAAACAAATGGTATGCTATTTCAGTACCTGGTAGCCTGCAGAACTAGTCACTTTCTATTGGAAAGAATTCAACTTAGCGAACTGGGGTGACGAATTCAAATGCCTGAACACAGAAACGGCGTTTATTTCGTTCGGGTTAGACATATCTTCGACCTTAGCAACTAGCTCTGCTGTCTAAACGGAAAACTAATTATTTTTTTTATTCACCCCTAAATAATTTTTTGTTATCGTTCTCAAATTGTAATTAATGAATAACTCATTGATTAGGTTCAATGCAAATCACTAAATTTGTAAAAGAACTGAGCATAAGAATAAGTAGGGGTTTACACACCAGTAGAAGTAAAAAAATTAAAAGAATTTAACATGAAATTAAACAAACAAGAACACAAAAAAGGGAAGAAATTTAAGAGGGTATAAGCGGTTGATCAAAATGACAAAGATGAAGAAAAGGATGATAATTGCAGAAAAAGAGAAACAACCAAAAAGGGACAGATAAACACGTGTATATGTATGTGTGTGTATGTGGTGCTTACCAGATGATGATGATGATGGAAGAAGAGTTGGTGAAGAAGCAAAGCCAGGGATGGATATGGTCAATTCCAAGGTGGAGGAGCTACTTGGTAAAACCGCCATAGAAGACGCACAGGAAATAATGAAGGGGGTGGAAAAAGATATATGGTGACGATGAAGAAGAAGAAGAAGAGAAGGAGGATCTGTGCGAAAAAGTAGAGAAAAAAAAGGTAAAGTGGAGAAACAGAAGGAGACACACATGAAAAGGAAGACAGAAGCAGCAAAGGATCTGATGAAATGTTTGGAGAGAAAAAGGTCAAGATATATAGAAAGGTCAAATAAACAAATATAGGGATATTAATTAGTCGTACAAGTTTATTATAATTAATACCCTAAAATGAGCATAGAAAATCAAAAGGAGGTTTCCATGGGAAAAACGTATATCAAGAGGTGTAGGTTTCTGACCGTGGTCGTCCAAGTCAAAGGCCTTGTGGCCCCAAGATGCTGACACGTGCACCTGTGTAAGACTACAAGATCCAACTCCAAATTCATTTTCCCGTTTTCATCTTATGGTTATTTTTGTTTTATACACCAAAAATTCCAAAGACATTAAAGTCAAGAATTATAAAATAATTTTAGAAATATAAAATTGGTAAAATAAATTATTTTACTTTGTTTATTTATACTATTATTAAGAATCTATGTATATCCTTACAGTATGTTTTTTAATCACAAATGAGTGAAATTTATATATATATTTTTCTTTTTTAATTTACCAGTAAGATGAAATTCTAAACTAATAATATTTTAAATATAAAAATTAATCTAATAATAATATTGTTGACATAGATTTGAATGGAAAGGGAAACTTATCTATTTCAAAAATAATAATATTAAGAAGTAACCTACATACGCTGTTAAGGAAGGAAGTAACCTACAACGTTCATTAACATTTGGTCAAACTTTAGGAGTACTGAGATTGTTTCTTTTAGTCGTTAGAAAATATTTTTAATAAAATAAAGTAGTTATTATTCAAAATTAATAACAATAAATAAAAATACTTCTTTTGTAAGGATGTGATGTAAATTTTTGTTAAGATAAACATGTGATAAATTTTATATTAAATAAAAATATGATAATATTATAAAATATAAGTGAATATAATTTTTATTTAATTAAATTAAATTTATTAAATTAAATTAAATAATTTTTATTTTCATTAACCAAGTATTATTTATATATTTTCTTCACGGACATTTGGATAAGTTTTCTGAAACCCAGTCACAAAAATAACTTAATACTGGCAGTGGATCGTTCAAACCTAATTATTTTCGTAGATCAATTTCGAAACTGTGGATTGCAAGGGTAGAATTGCCACGTCGAAAAGCTTAGTTAGATATATTTAATGTACCATACTATTTTTTTATTATTATTATTATTTCAATGGAGAGTTAACAATTTTAAAGTTTTCAAATATGAAATTTTATTATATATGTTTTTACGTATAACATGATTCAAGGCTTTCAAACATTTTATTCATTTAATTTTTACATCAAGATTTTATTTATTCACTTTGTTTTGATACTTAAATGAACTCATTTAATTAAAGAATAATAATAATAATAAGTTAATATAAAAATAACTCATTAAAATGTAATGTACCATATAAATAAGACACTTTTACTCATTTCTGTTTTTGTTTAGGATATTTAACCATTTTCTTTTTCACACATAATCATTTTTATTCTTCTATTACCTAAAAAGGGGAAAAATGGCTTCCTTGATCTTGATTAGTGTAGAGTTGACTGTTTGAGCTCTAATTAAATACATCTCAAAGAAAATAATGATTACTTTAAACATATAACTCTTTAGGAATAATCAGATGTTACCATGTTTACACTTTTCTCAGTGATGGTTTTATTATTATTATTATTTTTTTAAATGTTTATCAATTAAAAAATTAATACGAAATGAAGACTAGTAATTTTACTATTTGAAACAGAACAATAGAAATAGCTAGTGACAAATAAATATTAATGATTTTTACCAAACTAAAAAAATTCATGATGGTTTATTATATTCATATATGTTATAAAAAATGGTATTGTTCTCTTGCTTTACTTTTCTTATCACAAAAATCAAGCCACAAGCACACACACACATAAAATAATTTTGTATTTCTATTTTTCATAATTAAAAATTAAACTAATTAATGTATAAATATTAATATTCAAACAATTACTATTTCTTCTGTCTTATAAACTAAAATAATTAATTTTATATAAATATATGGTATCTCAACAACAATGTTAATCATTCTCGTAAAATCCAACATTTATACGGGTAGTAAAAAAATTTCCAAAGATATAAAAGAAAAGTACGGAAGTGCATAACAATGTATTTGAGAATGCAGAACATGTTATTAAGGAGGAGAAGGGAAAAATTGTATAAAATGTGATAGATAGATAGAAGGTAGAAGTAGGGTTTAATGTCGGTTGAAAGTTCTTGTGAGGAAATGATTGGAATGCCGAAGCTTTGATCTTTCTCTGGTTCCCCTCTCAACACGAACCAACCAATGTACATCATTGGCCCCATTAACACAAACTAAGACAGACAACTCGTTTTCACTTTTTCTGTCTTTACTCTTCCTAATCATCCTCATCACACACCCACAACTAATATTTTAATCTCCCACATTTCCCCTATTCAATTGACTTTTCTTTTTCACCCATATGCCAAGACATAATTTTAATTCAAAAATCATTTCACCAATTTCATAAATATTCTTTACTCTTCCCAAGTTATAAATGTTTGAAGATTAAGATTTTCATTCTTTATGTATGTAAAATCAAACATTTTAAATATTATATTTTTTTCTTTTAATCTGTCATAATTAACCAGTTTTTTATATCTCAACCATCTCAATATTTTGTTTTTAATATTTTCATATACTTGATTTTCTAATCACTTATGTATTCCAATCAACGTTTTTTATGTCATTAAATTGAATTTCAATATTTTTTTAAAAGAAAAATGTTAATAACTAAAAAAATCCCATAACTTAAATTATTTATTATAAATAAAAAATATATTTATTTAATATACATTTTAAATATAAAATAATTTATATTATAAAACACTACAACAAAAATAATTGTTAACAAAAAAATTTGATATCGATTATAAAGAAACCAATATAAAAAAAACGGACAAACTTGTAATTTAGTATAAGTTTTTTGTCTTAATTACATTATAATATAAAAAGTCATATTTATAATTGATTTTATCTATAACTCAATATTGAGTGTGACTTTCTACATTGATTATAATTGATATAAAAGTTCTTTACAATAAATATAATTTCTTTTTTTATACAAAAAATTTTTCTTCTTCTATAAAACAATTCTTTTTCCTCTCTTATTTACCTTCGTTGGAACATCTTGCCCTCCTTAGAATTGTTATTGTTGCAATCTCAACCTCCATCTAACCATTCATCGTATCTTTGCCTTTCGTTGTCTTTGTCCTTCTCTATTGTGCCTTTGCTTTTATCCTTTATCGCACTCTCCCCTCCCTCGTGTTATCACTGCTAGTTGTGGTCTTCATTTCTATTGTAGTCTCACACTCTATTATCAGAGGCAGAGTAAAACAAATTCTTTTAAGATTTTGTTAAAAAAATATATTATACCCCTTTAAAAAATTATTTGTTTGAATTGATCTTCTAAAACTAATTTTCTAATTCAACCTTTGTCTATCATGTTTCATGATCTTGTGTTATCATTAGTTGTATTTTTTTTTCAAATATTTCTCTGTTAATTATTTAAAATTTTAAATTATATATTATTTAAGATTATTTTATAATTATTTGATACCTTGTTATATTTGTTTAACACATTTTATGTTTATTTTTGGACTAATATGTACCAATAGGTGGAAAATATCACAAAATAACAAATATTTTGAAAAATAAAAATCAACTTTCTATACTAATTTCAGCTAAAACTAATATCGAATATATGTATTTTTAAATCGATTCTTTTATACTCGACGTGAATTCTCTTAATTTTTAATGACGTTTCTTTTTATAGGTGAAAAATATCACAAAATAATAAATATTTTAAAAAATAAAAATAATTTTTCTATACTAATTTCAGCTAAAACTAACCTCGAATATATGTATTTTTAAATTGATTCTTTTATACTCGTTAATTATCTTAATTTTTAATGATGTTTCTTTTTATAGGTAGAAAATATCACAAAACAACCAATATTTTAAAAAATAAAAATCAACTTTCTATACTAATTTCAACTAAAACTAACATCAAATATATGTATTTTTAAATCGGTTCTTTTATACTCGATATTAGTTCTCTTAATTTTTAATAACGTTTATTTTTATTACAATTTGAAAATTAATGTTATATATATATAAATTATAGAATCTATATTGAATGTTGTTCTTCAGCAATTTTTTTATTACATAAAAATAAATATTTAACTTACATAATACACATATTAAATTAGTAACTCATTTTACAAGTAAAGTAGATATATATACTAAGAGTTTTTTGATCATAGATCATCTATTAAAAAGTTTGAGTCATGCATGGTATACACAACATATATGCATATTATGTACAAACTAGTTCTAGTGTGAATGAGAAGTTGCAAAAGGGGGAAGAAAATGCTTTTTGTTGGCGATGAGGTTTGATATTTGTGTGAATCACATTAGAGTGTATTTGTGGTACAGGAGAGGTTTCTCGGGATGATAAGGGTGTGTGTGTTTCTTCCAAGATGCATGAACAAGAGAAAAATTACAATTTGCTATAATAGCCGAAATTGTAGCACCCATGGTTGTTGTAGTTCCAGACGGGGATGATAAGGCGAGGCCACAGGATTTGAGGTTTAGAGCAAAAAAATAAATAAAATTAAATAAACTCCCTAGAATCTGAATTTGATTTTTTGTAATTAGGTACTCTTTATTAATCAAGTGTGAGAGGATCTATATAAGATGTAGAATAAGATTAGCAAAAATGTCAATCATTTTAAGTGTAAATTATTGTACCATAAGTAGGTTTTATAAACTAATTGACAAATTGTTGAACTGAAATATAACATTTTTTGTTATATTCTTTTGGTTATAAAAAATCTCAGGATTTGGTGTATTTCACTTTTGGAACTGTTGAGGGGGACCCACCAAAGATACATATTTAAAATATTTTAGATAAGAAAACGGTTAGATTGGCAGGCGGTATGGTGCTGGGAACGGTAACAAGTTTGGGCAAAATATTAGGGTAAACTCATGCGAGGGTTTTGAAGAGGGAAGAAAGGGAATGCATAATAGCTAAGTTTACTTTTTTCTTTGGGCTGAAAATACCGAATGGGACGGAGAATATTTGAATACGTGATCCATGTGTGACGAGACTATTTTATGAGTTTCGGAGGTTGAGATTCGAAGTGACCCGCGGGCCATGAACTACCTTTGGGGCCATAAAAACCGAATCTCTTCTAGCCCAAGATAGTTTAAAAAGATAATACAGTTACCTCTTGTTGTGAGACATATATATAATTATAAAAAAATCTAGAACTACAAAATATCACAAGGAGGAATATTAGCATAAATTAACCTCCAATTGCTTGGTTTAGACATCCATTTACAATAAAGTCGAAACGGTTGCATGCAGTTTTGTGAAGTAGGTAACCATTTATCCAACCAAAATCAATCTTATTCTTACCATTACCAGATCCATGAAGATAAATTTAAGCATTTTATGTACTTTCACATAATCGATTGTCATTACAACTCCATGGCCTCTTAGTGTATGTATGTATGTTTTGCGTTGTTTTCTTCCTTTTTTAAATTTGAAAAAACATAAATCTATTGGAAAATCAACGATCCAAAGGTTTAATGGCTAGAACAGTGAAAAGGTTGGACCGTTTTCTAATAAAAATAACTCTCCACAGTATTGTATTTCAAGATGGTGTGTCATTTCAGCTGTACTTTGTTCTTGGGTAAGTCAACTGCAAATCTAAGTTTATAAACAAAATGGTAGAGATAATTTTATCAGTGTCAAGTTCCTGTCAGTGAAGTGTGAAAATAAGTTTTGAAATCTATCACTACAAATCCACACATTTCAGCTGAACCAAATCCACATAATCATCGCACATCGACACACCTAAAATCCATCCGTAACTACAACACTCATCCGCAAACAAATGAAGCATTAGGGAAGGAATTCCAACTGCAGACAATTTAGCCAAATCCAGAGTTGGTCATGTAGATGCTGTTTTTGGTGCTCAAGCTTGTCATAATAGTTGGTTTGGTGATGCAACAAGCACCGTATTCACGAGACACATGATTTTCCTTTTTCCAAGTATAAAGGTAATGCAAGTTACTACACGGAATGCAGTAACTCAAAAGACAAAAACTAGTGACGAAGAATTAATTTGAATCCATTGTTTACTTGAAGGATTCATACAATGACAAATGAAATTGCTACAGCTTATAATTTTCAAATTCTCCTATATTATATTAATATTCCAAATGATTAATGTCAATGCAGAAAGATTTCGTAATATTTGCAAATGTACAAAAGGAGGCCCAGTCATTATATTAGAGAGAGGGATTTTAGAACAATGACAATGCTTGCAGGATTCTTAAAGTCTACAATTTTTCATTTATATGTGATTATATATTTATCCAGCTTGAAACCAGCTATATTAGCCTCCTTGCAGATCTTTTCGCACTTCGCAGTCCTCCCAGAGGCCATGTAAATTTGAAGCATGTCCTTGTATATGCCAAAAGTGGGAGAAAATCCAGCCTCTTTAAGTCTTGAAAAATATCTCATTGCCCTAGATAGATCATTCAGAGCAACAAACAGTTTTATTAGCACACGATAAGCAGGAAGGTCAAAAAGGCAATTTGAAGCCTCCATCTCCCAAACTACAGTCAATGCATCTCTGTATTTCTTCTCTGTGTAACGGCTGTGAATCACAGAAGTGAACATTACTATGCTTGGTTAATAGCCAGACTGCTTGAACCAACTAAACAAGCTCTCAACTACTTCGAATTTCCCCATCTTAGTGCATACTTTCATTATAGCGGTACAATCTTGTTGGCTTAAATTCAATTCATCTCGTTCTCCAAGTTCTTCTAACAAGGGCAACACACGCCTGTGTCTGTCAGGGTTCTTTCCAAGTTCTAATATTAACTTAGCATAAATGCTGGAATCCAACATTCTTTTATCCCTTCTGGCCATTACTAGAACCTCCCACGCAAGTCTAAGGTTTCCTCCTTTTATAAAACCCTTGATCATTGCCTCCAACACAACACGACTTGCCAAACCAGTATATCGGTCTATGTTCAATGGAATTCTTAACTCATGATTCTTGGCCAAGACCTCAACAGTTGAGGCCAGAATCCAATCATCAGGGAAGAGATGAGGTTGATTTTGTGCCCATAAGAATGTTTGCAAAGCTCTCTCAGGGAATCCCATATGACCTAGTTCCCTTATTGTTAATGACAAGGACCCTTTCCTCAGGAATTGCACCCACTTCCCAAGAATTTTGGACACATCTTCAGCTGGACCAAGCCTACTTATTTCTTTTGCCAACCCAACTAGGAAACTAGGGCTTTTATACACTTTCTTAGCCATAGAAGCCCGGAAGAAACAACAACTGAGTCGTCAATTTCACTTGTGATTTTGGTTTAGGTAGCCCCAAAGGTCGGAGCCTGTGGGGAGATGGAAGAGGAAGAGGCCTTTCTCGATGCAATTTTCCAGGTTTTTGTGGAATTCTACCTTGGAAAAGTGATGAGATGGCTTCAAGCTCATCCGATTCCCAAACAACACCAATATTTCCATCTTCCTCTTCATCATGCTCTTCCTCGATATCTAAATCATCCTCGGTTGGTTTAGAGGTGGTGCTAGGCTTCTTCAAGAACAGATTAACACCAAAATCTGGAGGTTGCTTGGGATGGGGTCGATACCGATTATCCTTTCGTGGTCTACTTCTCCTTTTCGAATGTGCTTGCTAAAGTGATACTTTTGTAGTTGCACCAAATTTTTCCCACCGAACAAAATGAACACCGGGAAATGACAATGTGCAGTACATTATTCACAAGTATGAATTAAAAATATTGTTGATGCATTGCCTATTAGAACCTCGCACGGAAAATGATCGTCATATGTGTAAATAGATACCTCAATGACTGAGTAGGACTTTCATCAAACAAATGGTATGCTATTTCAGCATTCTGGTAGCCTGCAGAACTAGTCACTTTCTATTGGAAAGAATTCAACTTGCCGAACCGGGGTGATGAATCCCAAATGCCTCGAACACGAAACGGCGTTTATTTCGTTCAGGTTAGACATATCTTCGACCTTAGCAACTAGCTCTCTTGCCTAAACGGGAAAACTAATTATTTTTTTTATTCACCCCTAAATAATTTTTTGTTATCGTTCTCAAATTGTAATTAATGAATAACTCATTGATTAGGTTCAATGCAAATCACTAAATTTGTAAAAGAACTGAGCATAAGAATAAGTAGGGGTTAGGAGAAATCTCCGGAGGGGGTGAGTATACCTACAGGAGAGGTTTCTCGGGATGATAAGGGTGTGTGTTTCTTCCAAGATGCATGAACAAGAGAAAAATTACGATTTGCTATAATAGCCGAAATTGTAGCACCCATGGTTGTTGTAGTTCCAGACGGGGATGATAAGGCGAGGCCACAGGATATGAGGTTTAGAGCAAAAAAATAAATAAAATTAAATAAACTCCCTAGAATCTGAATTTGATTTTTTGTAATTAGGTACTCTTTATTAATCAAGTGTGAGAGGATCTATATAAGATGTAGAATAAGATTAGCAAAAATGTCAATCATTTTAAGTGTAAATTATTGTACCATAAGTAGGTTTTATAAACTAATTGACAAATTGTTGAACTGAAATATAACATTTTTTGTTATATTCTTTTGGTTATAAAAAATCTCGGGATTTGGTGTATTTCACTTTTGGAACTGTTGAGGGGGACCCACCAAAGATACATATTTAAAATATTTTAGATAAGAAAACGGTTAGATTGGCGGGCGGTATGGTGCTGGGAACGGTAACAAGTTTGGGCAAAATATTAGGGTAAACTCATGCGAGGGTTTTGAAGAGGGAAGAAAGGGAATGCATAATAGCTAAGTTTACTTTTTTCTTTGGGCTGAAAATACCGAATGGGACGGAGAATATTTGAATACGTGATCCATGTGTGACGAGACTATTTTATGAGTTTCAGAGGTTGAGATTCGAAGTGACCCGCGGGCCATGAACTACCTTTGGGGCCATAAAAGCTGAATCTCTTCTAGCCCAAGATAGTTTAAAAAGATAATACGAGTTACCTCTTGTTGTGAGACATATATATAATTATAAAAAAAATCTAGAACTACAAAATATCACAAGGAGGAATATTAGCATAAATTAACCTCCAATTGTCTGGTTTAGACATCCATTTACAATAAAGTCGAAACGAGTTGCATGCGGTTTTGTGAAGTAGGTAACCATTTATCCAACCAAAATCAATCTTATTCTTACCATTACCAGATCCATGAAGATAAATTTAAGCATTTTATGTACTTTCACATAATCAGTTGTCATTACAACTCCATGGCCTCTTAGTGTATGTATGTATGTTTTGCGTTGTTTTCTTCCTTTTTTAAATTTGAAAAAACATAAATCTATTGGAAAATCAACGATCCAAAGGTTTAATGGCTAGAACAGTGAAAAGGTTGGACCGTTTTCTAATAAAAATAACTCTCCACAGTATTGTATTTCAAGATGGTGTGTCATTTCAGCTGTACTTTGTTCTTGGGTAAGTCAACTGCAAATCTAAGTTTATAAACAAAATGGTAGAGATAATTTTATCAGTGTCAAGTTCCTGTCAGTGAAGTGTGAAAATAAGTTTTGAAATCTATCACTACAAATCCACACATTTCAGCTGAACCAAATCCACATAATCATCGCACATCGACACACCTAAAATCCATCCGTAACTACAACACTCATCCGCAAACAAATGAAGCATTAGGGAAGGAATTCCAACTGCAGACAATTTAGCCAAATCCGGAGTTGGTCATGTAGATGTTGTTTTGGTGCTCAAGCTTGTCATAATAGTTGGTTTGGTGATGCAACAAGCACCAGTATTCACGAGACGCATGATTTTCCTTTTTCCAAGTATAAAGGTAATGCAAGTTACTACACGGAATGCAGTAACTCAAAAGACAAAAACTAGTGACGAAGAATTAATTTGAATCCATTGTTTACTTGAAGGATTCATACAATGACAAATGAAATTGCTACAGCTTATAATTTTCAAATTCTCCTATATTATATTAATATTCCAAATGATTAATGTCAATGCAGAAAGATTTCGTAATATTTGCAAATGTACAAAAGGAGGCCCAGTCATTATATTAGAGAGAGGGATTTTAGAACAATGACAATGCTTGCAGGATTCTTAAAGTCTACAATTTTTCATTTATATGTGATTATATATTTATCCAGCTTGAAACCAGCTATATTAGTCTCCTTGCAGATCTCTTCGCACTTCGCAGTCCTCCCAGAGGCCATGTAAATTTGAAGCATGTCCTTGTATATGCCAAAAGTGGGAGAAAATCCAGCCTCTTTAAGTCTTGAAAAATATCTCATTGCCCTAGATAGATCATTCAGAGCAACAAACAGTTTTATTACCACACGATAAGCAGGAAGGTCAAAAAGGCAATTTGAAGCCTCCATCTCCCAAACTACAGTCAATGCCTCTCTGTATTTCTTCTCTGTGTAATGGCTGTGAATCACAGAAGTGAACATTACTATGCTTGGTTGATAGCCAAACTGCTTGAACCAACTACACAGGCTCTTAACTACTTCGAATTTGCCCATCTTAGTGCATACTTTCATTATAGCGGTACAATCTTGTTGGCTTAAATTCAATTCATCTCGTTCTCCAAGTTCTTCTAACAAGGGCAACACACGCCTGTGTCTGTCAGGGTTCTTTCTAAGTTCTAATATTAACTTAGCATAAATGCTGGAATCCAACATTCTTTTATCCCTTCTGGCCATTACTAGAACCTCCCACGCAAGTCTAAGGTTTCCTCCTTTTATAAAACCCTTGATCATTGCCTCCAACACAACACGACTTGCCAAACCAGTATATCGGTCTATGTTCAATGGAATTCTTAACTCATGATTCTTGGCCAAGACCTCAACAGTTGAGGCCAGAATCCAATCATCAGGGAAGAGATGAGGTTGATTTTGTGCCCATAAGAATGTTTGCAAAGCTCTCTCAGGGAATCCCATATGACCTAGTTCCCTTATTGTTAATGACAAGGACCCTTTCCTCAGGAACTGCACCCACTTCCCAAGAATTTTGGACACATCTTCAGCTGGACCAAGCCTACTTATTTCTCTTGCCAACCCAACTAGGAAACTAGGGCTTTTATACACTTTCTTAGCCATAGAAGCCCGGGAAGAAACAACAGCTAGAGCTGTCAATTTCACTTGTGATTTTGGTTTAGGTAGCCCCAAAGGTCGGAGCCTGTGGGGAGATGGAAGAGGAAGAGGCCTTTCTCGATGCAATTTTCCAGGTTTTTATGGAATTCTACCTTGGAAAAGTGATGAGATGGCTTCAAGCTCATCTGATTCCCAAACAACACCAATATTTCCATCTTCCTCTTCATCATGCTCTTCCTCGATATCTAAATCATCCTCAGTTGGTTTAGAGGTGGTGCTAGGCTTCTTCAAGAACAGATTAACACCAAAATCTGGAGGTTGCTTGGGATGGGGTCAATACCGATTATCCTTTCGTGGTCTACTTCTCCTTTTCGAATGTGCTGCTAAAATGATACTTTTGTAGTTGCACCAAATTTTTCCCACCGGAACAAAATGAACACCGGGAAATGACAATGTGCAGTACATTATTCACAAGTATGAATTAAAAATATTGTTGATGCATCGCCTATTAGAACCTGCACAGAAAATGATCGTCATATGTGTAAATAGATACCTCAATGACTGAGTAGGACTTTCATCAAACAAATGGTATGCTATTTCAGTACCTGGTAGCCTGCAGAACTAGTCACTTTCTATTGGAAAGAATTCAACTTGCTGAACTGGGGTGACGAATCCCAAATGCCTGAACATAGAAACGGCGTTTATTTCGTTCGGGTTAGACATATCTTCGACCTTAGCAACTAGCTCTGCTGTCTAAACGGGAAAACTAATTATTTTTTTTATTCACCCCTAAATAATTTTTTGTTATCGTTCTCAAATTGTAATTAATGAATAACTCATTGATTAGGTTCAATGCAAATCACTAAATTTGTAAAAGAACTGAGCATAAGAATAAGTAGGGGTTAGGAGAAATCTCCGGAGGGGGTGAGTATACCTACAGGAGAGGTTTCTCGGGATGATAAGGGTGTGTGTTTCTTCCAAGATGCATGAACAAGAGAAAAATTACGATTTGCTATAATAGCCGAAATTGTAGCACCCATGGTTGTTGTAGTTCCAGACGGGGATGATAAGGCGAGGCCACAGGATATGAGGTTTAGAGCAAAAAAGTAAATAAAATTAAATAAACTCCCTAGAATCTGAATTTGATTTTTTGTAATTAGGTACTCTTTATTAATCAAGTGTGAGAGGATCTATATAAGATGTATAATAAGATTAGCAAAAATGTCAATCATTTTAAGTGTAAACTATTGTACCATAAGTAGGTTTTATAAACTAATTGACAAATTGTTGAACTGAAATATAACATTTTTTGTTGTATTCTTTTGGTTATAAAAAATCTCAGGATTTGGTGTATTTCACTTTTGGAACTGTTGAGGGGGACCCACCAAAGATACATATTTAAAATATTTTAGATAAGAAAACGGTTAGATTGGCGGGCAGTATGGTGCTGGGAACGGTAACAAGTTTGGGCAAAATATTAGGGTAAACTCATGCGAGGGTTTTGAAGAGGGAAGAAAGGGAATGCATAATAGCTAAGTTTACTTTTTTTCTTTGGGCTGAAAATACCGAATGGGACGGAGAATATTTGAATACGAGATCCATGTGTGACGAGACAATTTTATGAGTTTCAGAGGTTGAGATTGGAAGTGACGTGCGGGCCATGAACTACCTTTGGGGCCATAAAAACTGAATCTCTTCTTGCCCAAGATAGTTTAAAAAGATAATACAGTTACCTCTTGTTGTGAGACATATATATAATTATAAAAAAAATCTAGAACTACAAAATATCACAAGGAGGAATATTAGCATAAATTAACCTCCAATTGCTGGTTTAGACATCTATTTACAATAAAGTCAGAAACAGTTGCATGCAGTTTTGTGAAGTAGGTAACCATTTATCCAACCAAAATCAATCTGATTCTTACCATTACCAGATCCATGAAGATAAATTTAAGCATTTTATGTACTTTCACATAATCAGTTGTCATTACAACTCCATGGCCTCTTAGTGTATGTATGTATGTTTTGCATTGTTTTCTTCCTTTTTTAAATTTGAAAAAACATAAATCTATTGGAAAATCAACGATCCAAAGGTTTAATGGCTAGAACAGTGAAAAGGTTGGACCGTTTTCTAATAAAAATAACTCTCCATAGTATTGTATTTCAAGATGGTGTGTCATTTCAGCTGTACTTTGTTCTTGGGTAAGTCAACTGCAAATCTAAGTTTATAAACAAAATGGTAGAGATAATTTTATCAGTGTCAAGTTCCTGTCAGTGAAGTGTGAAAATAAGTTTTGAAATCTATCACTACAAATCCACACATTTCAGCTGAACCAAATCCACATAATCATCACACATCAACACACCTAAAATTCATCCGTAACTACAGCACTCATCCGCAAACAAATGAAGCATTAGGGAAGGAATTCCAACTGCAGACAATTTAGCCAAATCCAGAGTTGGTCATGTAGATGCTGTTTTTGGTGCTCAAGCTTGTCATAATAGTTGGTTTGGTGATGCAACAGGCACCGTATTCACGAGACGCATGATTTTCCTTTTTCCAAGTACAAAGGTAATGCAAGTTACTACACGGAATGCAGTAACTCAAAAGACAAAAACTAGTGACGAAGAATTAATTTGAATCCATTGTTTACTTGAAGGATTCATACAATGACAAATGAAATTGCTACAGCTTATAATTTTCAAATTCTCCTATATTATATTAATATTCCAAATGATTAATGTCAATGCTGAAAGATTTCGTAATATTTGCAAATGTACAAAAGGAGGCCCAGTCATTATATTAGAGAGAGGGATTTTAGAACAATGACAATGCTTGCAGGATTCTTAAAGTTTACCATTTTTCATTTATATGTGATTATATATTTATCCAGCTTGAAACCAGCTATATTAGCCTCCTTGCAGATCTCTTCGCACTTCGCAGTCCTCCCAGAGGCCATGTAAATTTGAAGCATGTCCTTGTATATGCCAAAAGTGGGAGAAAATCCAGCCTCTTTAAGTCTTGAAAAATATCTCATTGCCCTAGATAGATCATTCAGAGCAACAAACAATTTTATTACCACACGATAAGCAGGAAGGTCAAAAAGGCAATTTGAAGCCTCCATCTCCCAAATTACAGTCAATGCCTCTCTGTATTTCTTCTCTGTGTAACGGCTGTGAATCACAGAAGTGAACATTACTATGCTTGGTTGATAGCCAGACTGCTTGAACCAACTAAACAGGCTCTCAACTACTTCGAATTTCCCCATCTTAGTGCATACTTTCATTATAGCGGTACAATCTTGTTGGCTTAAATTCAATTCATCTCGTTCTCCAAGTTCTTCTAACAAGGGCAACACACGCCTGTGTCTGTCAGGGTTCTTTCCAAGTTCTAATATTAACTTAGCATAAATGCTGGAATCCAACATTCTTTTATCCCTTCTGGCCATTACTAGAACCTCCCACGCAAGTCTAAGGTTTCCTCCTTTTATAAAACCCTTGATCATTGCCTCCAACACAGCACGACTTGCCAAACCAGTATATCGGTCTATGTTCAATGGAATTCTTAACTCATAATTCTTGGCCAAAACCTCAGCAGTTGAGGCCAGAATCCAATCATCAGGAAAGAGGTTGATTTTGTGCCCATAAGAATGTTTGCAAAACTCTCTCACTGAATCCCATATGACCTAGTTCCCTTAAGGATCACCTAATCAATATGTTATGATTAAGACACATGACCAAATATATATATATGGGTGTTTGTGGGGCCCAAGGTTTAGATAACTGAAAAAGCAACGTAGCGAAAGCAGCCACGTAGGCAAGAAACACGTCACTGGCCAACGCATTAGCCAAACGTGCGCATATGGTTTAACGTTACTCCCAAAAGAATGGATGAAACTTAGTAGGGTTTGACATTTTATTTTACATAAAAGTTAGGTTTAGTTTCTCCTTTTGTTCCTTGAGTAATATACAGAAATAACAACTACTAACAAAATCATAGAATTTGAAATCCGTAACATTACGAGATTTTGATTTAAAGGGAACGGGACTTGCCCCACTTCAGATATGGCTATCACTATATTTAACTATAAAAGCCATTCACTTTTTTCAAATAACGAGACGTGTAAGACAAAAATTCAAACACTCATATTCCCTAATATATTCTCTCTTCCTTGGGATAAATCCTAACGAGGAAAGAGAAGAAGGACAAAATTTGTAGTTCGTAAGTGCAGAAAAAGATCAAATGACTGCGAAGACAAACACGATGCCAATCATTGGCAAACTGCACTGTTCGTCGTCTCAGACGGTGCATGTGGTGAGGAAGAGGCCACACGTCGTGAATGGCGGGGGTTTTGTAGTCATGGATTCTAGTGCCCAGAGGGTTGTGTTCAGGGTCGATGGTTGTGGTGTTCGTGGCAAAAAGGGAGAGTTGATCCTAAGAGAAGGAGACGGAGACGCTTTGCTCCTCATGCGTCGGAAGGTATATATATATTTACTTCATTTTTATGCAATGTGTGTGTATGTAGACTTTAATCTGTACGAATTCTAAGTGTGAAGTCAAACAATGAAAAAAACAACAACGTGTTTGGATTAGATTTAAGTTAAAATTCAGGCCGAAAGCTATAAAATCACGTGAAAGTTACGTACTTTCAGTTGCTTCGTGTCTTTTAAGGATGTGCTTATTCAGTCTCAAGATTCATCAAATGTGCAGGGAGGCATGGTTGAGGCCTTGAGCATTTACAAGAAGTGGAAAGGTTACAGTTTAGACTACGAAGGGTCACGGAAGCTGGTTTTCAGCTTGACAGAACCCAATTCTTGTTTGGTTAAGAACAAGGCAATCAGAATCTCCACTAGAAACAGCGGCTGTGACTTTAAGATCAATGGCTATTTTCCGGACAAGTGTTGTAGCATTATTGACTCTAAAGGCAACGAGGTAGCACAGGTACGCTAACCAATTAGTTTGGCTTGTTGAGTTGAGAATATGCATAGCAGAATGAGATGAAAGTATAGCATTAGTTTAGTTGTTACTTAAATGTGCTGATTCATGATCTCTTCATTAGGTGAGGGTGATGAAGGAAGTGGAGGAATTCATGGTAAACAAGGATTTGTATCACGTGGTGGTGGAACCGGGGATGGATCAAGCTTTTGTTTTTGGAGTCATAGCTATTCTTGATTACATTTATGGGGAATCCACCCACTGCTAAATTCAGAACTCATCAGATATGCTCTGAGTTCTGTGAATTTTTTTGTATGTAGGATTACTTTTTCCTGTCACACAATGGTCGATGTTGAATCCTGAAACCAAATGGCGAATACAGAGTTTCTACGAAAAGAATCATCAAATAGTCTAGAAAAGGATTTGTTCCCAACAAGATGGTTAAAGTAGTTTCCCAGTCTTAACGTCCGTTGTTATAATAATGGTTAAAGTTAATTTTCGCGATTAAAATTTTCATCCATCACAATTTTATCACAGTTTTATATTTAAAAAATATTTCGATTGATTAAGAAATAAGTTAAATAAATATATATATATATATATATATATATTATTTTAATTTTAATTTTTTTAAGTGATATAAAACTTATAAAAACATAATACTAATCGAGGACTAAAAAAATATAAATGAAACAATGTTCTATTCTCGATTCTACGATTTTGTATATATATATATATAAAGTAGCTGTACTAAACTCGTTTCCTTTGTCGTCGAATTCTATCATTATTTTCTTTGTCCAAATAAAAGTTAACTTTTTGCTACTATTCATTCGTATAAATTGGTGAGTTTGAATATCTGTGAAGTTTGATGGTGAAGAATGTATAGTTGAATGAACTATTCTAGTACTGTTTAATTGAATGAGTTAACAGATTTGACAAGTAATGAATTGTTGCATCAATATTTTCGTGTCCAATGAAATATTCTCTATAAACAGTGGCAGATTGCGTAAATAATTCGTTCCATCTTACGCAGACTTCTAATTTGAAATTCTCTGGATGATGTTATAATGTTTATAACTACGTCTTCTTGCAAGTAAATATGCTTCCAACAGATAAGAAAACCAGTAGTCATATGTATATTTATTAGTTGTTGTTGGAGCAACATATGATTTGTATTAATTACAATTTATTTAATTTTGGAACCCAAGCGTAAATAAGTGTTCTTTTTCTTAGCTGTAATCACGTAAACTTCAAAGAGAATCACTATATTATAAGAAAAAGTAAAGTAAAACATGTTTTATATGAATTAAAATTAATTTATGGACAAATTTATTTACTTATTTCTATATTTATGAAAGATTCAAATTCCACCTAAATGAATTAACAAATGTATCTGATGAAGCAATCTCTGTCCATGCTATAAGTTGACATGAGATAAGCAAGGATTAAAATTACAATTATTAAAATTTTGAGAATCCATTATACTTAATTTTTTTTTAATTGTAAACATTCCCTCGATAATAAGTAGAATAATGTTCCTATTATTATTATTATTATTATTTTTTTATTTTTACCTGAAACATATATTTTTTTTCTTTTCTGATCCTTGTAGAAAAGGGTACAGATAGTAAAATGAAAAAAAAAATCCTTCAGAAACTTTTTAAAATAATATTCGTTTTTACTTTGTAATGAAAGTATCAAGTATAAAATAATTTATTTACTATTTAAAATATAAACGACTGTTTAAGATATGAAGAATTATGAAGAATATTATAATAAAATTAATTAATATATGACACATGTAAGTTATTTAAAGAATTGAGTTTTGTTGATTACTCATTGGCAATTCTTCTTACATATTTTATTTTTAAAATTTAATATATTTGAAAAGATAATAACGTAATATTAATTTATGAAATTAGTGATCCGAAAATATATTTTCAATTAAAAAAAATCATATATATAGTTTCGGATTATAAAATTTGAAATATAATTTTTTTATTTTTTAATGATTAATTTAATTTTTTTCAATAAATTAAATCTAAAAATATTTTTTCATATGATTAAAGTTTTAAATTTATTTTTTGAAAATTTTAAGAAATATTTTAGATTATTATTTCGGAAACCTGATTTTAAAATATTTTCCAAAAGTTAATTGTAGAAAGTTTATAGAGAAATAAATACAAAAGTTATATTACATGAGAATAATATTATTATTTTAAATAAATATAAAAATATTAAATGAACATACGAACGGTGCAGAATGAACACATGGGAATATAGGAGGTAGAGAAAGAATGTGCCTTACTCGTCGTTTATGTACTTATTGTTTTGACTTTTGAGGTTACTTCCCAAAATCGACGAATTGGACTGTTTGCAAATGGGTCCGACAATAAAGGCATTATTGGGCTTTCTAAAGGAGATCGGTTTGGGTTCAAGCAATGTGGGATCTTACTTTAGTGGTCCACGGAGAAGGCTTAGAAATACTGACAAATTAATGAATATTATTTTGTAATTTTTATGACTAAAAATTCTATTCCGATAATTTTATCATTTTTTTTTCAATTTTTGTACACTTTAGAATGATGACATGTAAATGAAATTAAAAAATTAAAACAATATAGTTTATTAGAAATTTAACAAAATTACGATATGTAAAAAAAATTTTTTTTTTTTTGTAATTATTTTTCATGGCACATAATACTTAGTTAGAAATTTAACCGACTATAAATATACGACAATTTAGAGTAGTTGAGTCGTAAAATATACCATTATATTAATATTATTAAGGACGATTATTCATTCTGTATTATGCATTGATTATTAGTCGTCCAGTAAACAATAACTGAAACATTTGTGGAATTTTTGTTTGAGTCAAAGTCAAAAGGAAATTTTGAATAACAAAAAGATGTTTCCTAAATGAACAAGAAGAAATTGTCAAAGAAGACTTTTTGGTGCAGTTCTACATGCTATGATGCTTCAAGTAGCAGATGGTATCAACTGTTTATTGGCCTTGTTTATTTCAGAGTTTAAGTTTTGGTGATTTCTAGTTGTAGAATATATGGTTCATACATATGAATAACAAATGGTGTTGGTGCTTTTGGTACAGTAATGGTAAGTGATAGTAAGCAGAGAGTACATGATAAGTGTTAGTTGAATTATTTATTGTTCAGGAGTATGTAGATGCAACATTTATCAAAAGAAAAAGTACTAAGATCAAGTGAAATGTGAGTTAAAACGTAGTAGTAATAACCAGATATGCATCAAACCATGTCCAGTATATTGGTGCAGAAAACTTTTTTTCCCATTTTATATATTTTGTCTTAAATATGCTTATGAAGACTCTTACTGTGGTGTGTGTGGGAGATCATACAGCTTCAATGAAGCTTACATTCTAAATGAGAGAGATGTTGGGCAAAAAGCTAGCAGTATCTTTTTTCCGTACATGTAGAGCTGGAGTTTTCAATGTTATCACATTCAAATCTTTCCAATCAGTTGGACTTAAGATGCTGTTCTAAGACAATATATGATGGCCTCCACTGAAGAGATTCCATCTTTCTGATGATATTTTCTTTTTTACTTTGGGGTTAGCTTCTTGAAAAACTTCTTTTGCCTGCATTAACAGAGAGGGATCTTGAAAAAAGAAAAAGGGTGCCTTGACGGGATGATCGATCCAACACTGTTTGTGCTCTGAAAGTTGGGTTTGATGTTGATTTTACACCAAAAATGAATGTAATGAAAAGTCAAACTCTTCATCATTCTCTTTACATCTAAATTGTATATGTAAGTTGATAGATTTCATCAAACCAGAATTGAGTCACGGGGAACTTCCTAATACTCTCTTTCAAATTTATATGTCTGTCAAACCAGATATTTACTGTAATAAACAATTATCAAGATGAGTTATATGCTGTGATTTCATGTCAAATTGAAGATTTCAATAATTATGAGTTGAATTGATAGTACTAAATGATCATATGGAAGATTAAGCAACTTTGCATTAATGATGACTCTTTATCTATTAACCATGATTTTCTGACAAAGACACCATATATAGACACTATCACTATCACATATATAGACATTATCACTTTTAAACTGTTTATGTAAAAAATATAAGATGCGAGAATACCACACATAATAAATCTTGTAAGAAAATATATAAAAGATATAATCAACTTATCTGCTCAGCAAAATATGATGAACACAAATTTGTAAAAGGGTATGTTCACCTTTTCAAAAACAATTTTTTAAAATCCACTTTCTTTTCTACAACAGTGAGACTCACAAAAGAAAATGATAAAAAGTCATGATTTCAATGTTTATTTTATGTTTTACTTTAGACTTTCCTATTTTTTCCCATCTAAATGTTAAATAAAAAAACTAAATATAATACCACTGACACTGTCCTCGTACTGTTCATGCATATGCAAGTGTGGGCTCAAGTAGTAGAGGTATGAATTTAAGTGTCTAAATAAATTGACAAAAAGAAGTGTCGCTTATTTCGAAGCTCTTTGATGTTTATGGATCCTTGTGGTCAATGTAGGGTCACAGAAATCACGTAAATGAAAACCCATGATGATTCGCACGTTTAGGTCCTGTTTGGTAGCTAAGGACGAGTAGAAAAATGGAGACAGAAGTTGGAAATGCTCTTGAAAAGCTCTGCCTTATTGGATTAACTAGGCCATTTTTTCATTGAGGGTGGACGTGCACGAGGAATAGAACGCAGATTGATTTCATGAGCACTACAAGAGGGGGTTAGGTAAACTACCTTTTAAACAAAGTGCATAATTCGAAATCATTTCGGTGACCCATGAAATGATGAACTCCATTTAGCAAAACACTTGACTATTGTGATTATTGAGAAATGGTGCTCATTTATGAGGCAATATAATAGCAGTTGAGGACAAGTTCATTCAACCAAATTCAGTTCTTGGAAAATACTCTTATTTACATTGAAAACCAGTGTCTTTATGTGGGTGTATATTTATTCAATCTTGTTTTACTTGCAGGTTACTACTGCTTCAAACTCTCTGTAGTCTGTTCCCATGTAAAGAACAATATTTTGTATTGATTGATTGCTTTTGATTCTGGTTTTCAACCATTGGAAACTCATCTCAATGCTTCTTTGCTTCTAACATTCGTTTCTCTTCAACTTTCTAGCTATTATATCTCAAGATCTGCCCCTGAGAAAGTATAGTTAGACACCACAGTACGTGACACCTTATTAGTCGTTGATTCTCTCAATTTTTTAATGGACCTATATGTAGTAAAATAGTGGATGATTTTTGGTATTTTACTCCATCAAAAACACGTAAACACAAACTTTGAAAATCTGCGAGTAGCCAAGTTAACTAGTTGCAAGAAACGTAGGGTGAACGAGCTCTTATTTATTTTTATCATTTTATCTTCGAGTGAATGAGCTCCAAGTCTTCAACAAAAACACGCAAATGGCAATAAAATGACATCTAACATAATTAACAATGATCCGATTTGTTGGATGTGTATACTGACCCCACTCATTTTGTTTGTCGGTTTCGATGTATATTATGTTACAATTTGCAGAAAACTCCTGGAGTAGATGCACCCCTAAGGTTCACACAGGCACAACCATGTTGTTCTTTGTCATACTACTACATATCCTTCTTGGTGACAAAACGTGAATTGGGTGTCCTGATAAAGAGCAGTAATCCCAAAGGTTTCAAGTGGATGATCATACAGTAAAAGTTTCAAAATTTTATATCCTTTAACGCATGTCATCACAAGGCATTCAGTTAGAAGCATAAGAAAAGGAACAAAAAATGAAAGATGTGCTACTTTTCCACCCAAATTCTAATCTTAAGTTTGGCTCGCTTACACATACTAACTGGAGCTTGGAAATGCTAAACCTTTCCAACAAAAGCGATGGCCTTTTCACTTGAGGGAAATTTCCCTGCACATTCCTCTTGTGTCTGTATCTCCCATGCAAAATGCCTCAATTAATCAACTTTCCTTAATTTCTTGTTTTTTATTGTCAAAATAAAGTCATCACTGTTAAATGGCCATGCTGCAAATTGAAACAAACAGCTAAGCACACCTGGAATTATTAGTTTGGAAAAGGTTCAAGATTCTCATATTCTTTTATGCATACAGCTATAGCCAATGAATGAACGCAAAAAAAAATGTTTCTTTTCAGGATTGCTTGAGCCATGAGCCAGCCATCATAATCGCACCTTTGCGCTGTCTTTTTGTTCTGATTCAAATTCAATAGCTGCAAGACTTTTCAGCTTTATTTTCTTTACTCAGATTTCATTAACAACCCCAATAACAAAATTAAACAAAATAAAATAACAACATACGAAAATACACTGAACCAGAATGGAGCAACATAAATCCACTCTAATATTCATCAAGTTTTATGCCCTTAAGGATAGTTTCTTACGTGCTTTCGGTATTATATTTCAAGCAAAATTGTATCAAAATTTTGCCTTTCCAAGAAAACACAAAGAAGGTGTGCAGATTAGAAGAACTGAATTTAAGAATTAGCTAATAAGCCTGTATATACATTAAAGATCATGCAAAAAAGGAGCTAGTACTGAAGTCATCATGTGACAAATCCCTCGACCAATCTAAACATAAAGGGTCAATGTTAGAGAGCCTTTGTCGTAGATTCTAAAATCTGTCACGGTCACAGAAAAACACTTACACACTGAGTTTCGATTCCCTGTTTCATGCTTAACCTGTAACTACAAGAGCACAAAACATAAAGAAAAAAAAACAGACCTCTTAACCGGAGATAGAAGAGAAGCAACTCTCCGAGCGAATTAATTGTGGGGCTCGAACGCCGAGAGCCCCACTGGAGTTGGACCGGACAGGTTTGGGCGAATCGAGGCTCCGGCGGAGGAGGCGTCCCATGGCGAAGATGGGGTGCTCTGTTTTATTGAGAACGGCGGAAGACCGGAACTCTCTGCAGAAAGTGATGTGGCGGTCCAGGGCTTCTTCGGTGGTGATGACACAATCTGATCTCACCACCTCGTGTTTCACAGCCTCCACACACAGCCCACAGAGCCACCGACCCTGGTACCTCTGACGCACCCTGGAGATGTACGTAGGGGTGCATTCCTCCGTGAACCCGCATGAGTCGCATTTCACGCACTCCACTTCCACCTGAGACACAATTTTCACCGAGGACGAACTCTGAGTCTCTGACCCTGAAATTGCCATGCCTTGCTGCTATTGCCTCAACAGGACTTGCAAGATTACAAACACACTCTCTCTTTCTCTTTTTTGTTTCCCTTAATAATAATATAGTGAGGAACGGAGGGCCTGAGTAGCAGGGAGTCAACACAGATTTATGTTGTCCTATTCTAACAAACTAATGATAGAAAACTGTGTCACATAATAACCTATTTCTTAGTATAAATATATAATATCAGGGACCTTCAAATGGATTAGACATGAGTCACTCACCACCTTTTAACTTGTCATTTTGGTGTTTTCTGTTGCCACGTGTCTCTCCTAGCATATGGCAGCATGGAGAACCAGTGTGATTGGCTGGTAGTAGATCGCTGTCATTTGTTTCATTTGGGCACTTTTTTTTTCTGATTTTCAACCGTTTAAGTTTATCTTGTTAATCCAATAAACCAATATGTAGAATAACATCATGGGATTGTTGCTTGGAAGCCTCCAAACTTGTGCCATCTCACTCCTCCGTGTCTCACACATTTTTGGTAACTGCCAGTGCTCATCGGAAACTATAGTGTAATTAGGCATATTTCATATTTTTATGGACGTGAAATGAGTTTAATGTCTGTAGCATTTGACTCAATTTTGATCAAAATTCGTTTCATTTAGCCGTCAACTACAATATGGCATCATTCTTAAGTTACTTGTACGTATATGCCAAGAAAATTTCTTTTCTTTCAATCGGTGGTCGTATTATTCATTGTTATTTGCTAACTTGTAGGCATTCATTGTCAATTATGTTAACAGATTGTTGTTTTATGTCTCTTCCAGGTGTGCAATCAAACATTTCATCCATATAATATATGTCTCTGTGTGTGTTAATGTGTCTGTATGGATTATGTCTTTACTATTGAAGCAGTGATTATAATTTGGTCCTTGAGGTATACGTGACGTGTCATACAAAAATTAGTGTTATTAAATGTTCAAATTGCACTTGATATGGTTAATTTTCAACTGCATCAGCCATTCTATTCTGGTATATCCACCTGCTTTTTAAAGTGTCACGTTGTTCAATTAATGTAGATATGAGACAGCCATCAAATGATTAGAGAAAAAGAAGTTCAAACCACTGGCCTTCTTGTAAGATTACGTGCATTGTGGCTAAAATCAAGTAGTTTCCATGTGTTTAACTGTTGATTAGTAGATTCCGAGTTAGGAAAAACATGAACTGGCTAATGAATAATATGAGTTGACTTTCCTCAAGACGGAACTCCATTACGTGACGAAGGACCCACCTACCTAAATGAAATGAAAATGCATTTCAACTTGCTAAACAAAAAAAAAAATCTGATAGCATTCTCAAGCTTGGTTCTGCAAGTTTTATTTGCTGTCTTATGTCACATTTCAACTATTCGGCTTCTTACACATTAATCCAAGTTTACTCGAGATGCACATTCACTTTTATATTTTGCTCACCAAAAAGCACTAACTACCGATTGCATATTATATTGTTGCCATTTTCCCAATGAAGCACTGCATGAATAGAAGGCGTTCTCGTTGCTCTAAAAAGTTGTCATGAAACTCTCACTGACAAGAAGATATGGCATTTTCATTATAAGCGGAGTGCTTTCTTGTTTTGACAGTTTTGTTATCTTCTTTTCTTTCGAGTTGATACCAAAGGGGTGTTTTACTTACTTTAGTTCATCTGTAAATGTGAGAGTACGTTAAACATGCCTTAAGCATGTGACAGATGTGGCCTTTGAAGCACCGGAATCAGATGGCTCCTAAGTGGCTATCTCATTCATTGTATGAAAATGACATCGATCGCAACGACTTCCAATTCGCCATGTGCAAGTTTTGCCATTTCTTCTAGAGCGATGTAGACACAGTGACAAGTTGGCATCGTGATATTTAGGTGAGGTTACTTCTTCTCTGGAGAAGACCTGGACCTGCAGAAAAGTTTAGTCCCCATAACGTGATAAACGAGAGTACAAGTCTCCCATTGGAAGAACTGTTGATATTAATTATTCAATTATTCCTCAAGCAGAATTGTGTCTGAAAGAAAATACATGTGAGAAAAAAAAAAAAAAAGGACCTGGGACTTGCATTCACTAACAAGAGTAAGAGTCTGTAATCGATGAGGGAAGGAATCTTTTCCTATTGGGACCAGTGCTACAAATGATACATCAAAGAGTGGTGCCTTTTGAGATGCATTCATTAATATTACTTTCTAGACTTTTTGTACCTGGTAGGAGACAAAATATTGAAGTAGTGTGTCTCTTAGTGATTCGTGAGCAATCTGCACTGGTCTCTTTCAACATGATGTTTTAGGATGAGTCAAAATCTGGAGTTAGTGATTTGCTTGCCAGTAGGCATAAAATTGAAGGCCAAGAGACCCCTAGTCCATGTGGTTGGCCCCATGACCGCATTACTCATCATATCCAAAACCAAGGGGTTCTTCTGCCAATCTCTTTAACGGAGAAGTAACCTCCTATAGTGCACAGATTTTTAAGTTGTTACTACAATCTTCCTATTTTAACTGCAGCCACTAGCTGTGAATCTTTCAAATGGTTGAACCAGGTTATAGATTATGTGATAGAATCTAAGTGGATGTTTAACACTTGAGAGTGTTTGTAGCACCGAACTTGGTCTCCACTGCTTTCGTTTTTATGTGCTTGAGGCTAACCTATGGGTCCGTACGATTTAGGGAATAGTAGATGCAGTTCCAACCATGTTAATTTGGTTTCTCATTTTCTATGTAATTTTTAACTGAAAAACTAATATAGTTTCTACACGTGTCTAAACGTAGTTTCTTACTACTTTTCAACGATTTTCCAAACAGATACTGCTGTCGACAATGAAGTTTGGAGGTCGGCAGGCTTATTTCTTGATGCTCTTTTCCTGTCCTCTCTAGTTGTCTGACGCCTTAAAAGCAGTGCTATTTTGTGTGTTATTCTATATTGGTAAGTTGCCCATCAAGCTTTTTTAGCTCTGATGCTTCTGATGGTCTTTCTGGTCACTTTACTTTAAGTTATATGAGGATGAATTGTAAGCATGTTTAAGCAGTAAAGGGTTGTTATAGTCACCAAACAAGAAGATTCAAACCAGTATAAGCATGAGGTTGAATTGATCTTCTTCAATATTTTTAATTTCATGCTTACCTTTCTGATTCTGAAAGAGTAGGATTTGTCGACAGCCCCATGGTATCCAAACACCCAGTACTTCATTTCCAAGGCTAATTAATAAATCTGGACAAAGTGGTCAATAAGAAGGCAATGGCTATGCTTGTGAATGTGGCAACTGATTGCAATGATTATCAGAAAGTTTGATGATCATATGGGAAGATAATGTTTTCAATGAAATCAATTTTTCAACTTCATTAAAAATAAAATTGCAGTGTGCACAGAATTGGTAACTGACAGCATCAGCTTTTTATTAATAAGGGTGTGTTCACTTTTGTATCAGGCTTCATCTGATATGAAAAAAGGTGTATGTACTACATGAAAGAAGGAGTATACTGGCCCTGATATTTTAATTAATTTTGTGCCCTTTTTCCTAGTCAGTTCTGGAACTAGATTTCTGTAATGAAAGGGTTTGTAGGGTTCCAAGAAAGACAACCTTAATAACATCACTTGATACTACTAGTTCTGATTGTAACAAGAAAAATTAGATAATTTAAGTTAAGCAGTGATATTCCCCATAACATATCTGCCAATTGTTTCTACCCTCAACAAGTGTGAATCTCTAAGTAACAATCGTCTCATGTGCATTCCCTGAAAATAAATCAGGAGAAATTTGTTATCAGAATCCATGAAGGATAAATAGCCACACATTATCATAAAATTTGTTAACTTTGGGATGTAACATTAATGAGATCCAACAATAATAATAACGCAATAGCGCAGGTGACAGAAAAATCTTATGCAGTAAGTGACAGCAGATGCAGATCCGGTGAAGAGAAAGGGAGACAAGAAAAAAATAATGACACATGATTATTATATAAATCTAATTTGATATAACTAAATTAAAATTTATGTTGAAATATTAAATATAGAAACTAACTTTTTTTTTTAAGAATAGCGATATTATTATGTATTTGGAAAATGTATTATATAATTTATAGGAAATTAAAATACATTAAATTTATGTATTTATTTATTCATTTAAAATGATTTAATTTCTTAAATAATTTATTTGGATAAGATAATCCAAATATATTAATTTTTTTATAAAATATTTTAATTATTATGAAATATAAAAATTATCATTACTATATCATGAATTAGATACAATTTTTACTATTTCATAACCCTTATCTCCATAGATAAGGTTGATATGAGACGAAATATAACAAATTATATTGAGTAAAGTGAAATCAGGAAGAAACAAATTAATAAGGTTGAGTCTGATTAAGATAAATTGTATTGGGTATGAAATATTGAGTTAAATCTGATTATACTCACTAGTTGAGATGAGTCGTGTCATGTCAGGTTATGTTGAGATAAGTCAAGTTGGGTCAAGACAAATTAAACCATATTGAATTAAGTTGAACTTAGATGAGTCAAGTCAGTCGTGTATGAATTGAATAGGCCAAGATAGATTAAACCAAACCAAGATAAGATATGTTAGGTTAAAAAAAATCAAATCAAGATAAGTCAAGTTGGGTCAATACAAATCAAAACATATTGAATTGAGTTGAGCTTAGATGAGTCAAGTCAGTCGTGTATGAATTGAATAACCAAGATAGATTGAATCAAACTAAGATAAAATATATTAGGTTAAAAAAAATCAAATCAAGATAAGTCAAATTGGGATAATTTGAGTTAGGATAGGTTAGACCTACTTTGGGTAGTTGGGTGAAACCTAATAAAAAAGAATTAAATTAAGTTAGGACACATCAAAATAGGATGAATTAGACCATGTTAATATAAGCTAAGTCAAGTCAATATAGGATGGACTAGATCGAGAACGATTGGGTCGAGATGATTCGATGATATTTAAAACATGTTAGATTAGTTCAAATTAAGTTAAGATGTGTCAAAACCAGGTTTGACTATCCTTATCTAGGTTGAACTAAATCCGTTTGTATTGAAATAGGTTGAGATGACTCAAAAATATTCTAATTATATATATATATATATATATATATATATATATATATATATATATATATATATATATAAAGAAGATGCATATATTTAAGAGAAAGAAAAGGAAAATTTTAAAATTCATATTTAGGTGAAATTTAAAAGTCTCAATTAAAATACTTTTACTAATTTTTAAATTTTAATTATTTTTTAAAATTCGTTATAAAAAACTAATTTTATCATAAAATATTTCAAATATTTTATTGAAACATAAATTCATTGTCTAGCAAAACTAAATATAAATATATTTTATAATGTTTGAGAATATAGGAACATCAAACTAACCTAAAATTACTGTGGATAATGATTCATTATTGTAGAAGTAATATCATGGATAATAATCTATTATTGTAGAAGTAATTTTTGTTTAAAGTTAATACATTTTATTTCTCTTTATATATATATATATATATATATATATATAATTAATTAATTTAACTTCTGAATTATTTTTTACTAAATAGATCAAACATGTAATTGTTTGTCGAATTTTTAAATTATACGATACTTCATTAACTAGATTTAATTTATTGTATAATATATATTTTTAAAGTTTATTAAATATTAATCACAAATTTATTGTACGTAAAAGTTATCTAAATTTGATATTTTAAAGATTGATTTTTAGGAATAATAGATGATAAAATTAAAAATTTATAAAGGATGAGATTGATTGAGTTTTTATCCTTATAAATAGAAAATTTTAATATTTTATTATTCGTTTATTAAAAAATATTATTTCTAATTTTTGTTTTCTATTTTTTTCTAAGTATTACATACAATTTTTTTCTCTGTTATTGACCATGATTTTAAAGTTAACAAAGTTTAAATTAACCTTAAGATATGAGTGATTTCTTTTTTTAAGACCTCAATTCTCTTTCTTTGGGCATAGCTTGCAAAAAAATTGATAATTTATATTGATGTGTCTTGATAAATCGCGTTTTCTGTATTCAAGTTAAAATATTTTTAAGTCGTTGTCTTTTTAGAATTTAGGATTTTCTTTTAGAATGAGAAAATTAAAATAAGAGAAACTTAATTGAATTTAAATTTTATCTTAAGATAGAAAATAAATACGAAGAATTTATTCATTCTAAAAATATTATTATTTTTAAATAATATAATAATTAATAGTTAATAATTAATTATTATGTTTGACTATTACTATAAGTCTCTAATCAGGCGATTATTTCATTCTTTATATAATAATTATAATTGATTCAACAAAATAATAAAAAATATTCCTAGATTCACTTAGTCTCGTTGTACATCACGTGTTTAAATTATTACTGAACTAATTTATTGACATGGCGATATAAAAAATTAAAATTTGATAATTTTATATTTATGAGTTACTTTAACTTATAATTTTATCAAATATTTATAATGTAATAAATTAACAATTTTCAACTCTAACTAACTTTTCAACTAACATTCTATTTATAGATTTTGTAATAGCCTGACGAATTTTTATAATATGAAAATATATTGCATTAGTCAATTTTATTTTACATATAACTATTCTTAATTATTTTTTACTTAGTTGTTGGTCATTTAAAAAAATCTGATTGAAATCCTCCATGTGTTTAATTATTATGTTAATTTATATAAAATATCCTTTTTCTCAAATACAAATGAGAATTCAAAAATATTTTTTTATTAAATAAAAATAAAGACGAAGAAGTTAAGTAAAACGTATAATGGTAAAAAAATATGATGTAATTTTTTCTTAATAAAAAAATTGTGATTAAATTAGAAAATTAAAGTATGATTATTATAAATTATGATATGTTTCAATCAAAGTATCTGATTTTATATTTATTATAATAATATTATTAATGATAATTTTTATGTTTAAAATATTATTTATTTTAAAGTTTTTATTGTTTAGTTTTATTTTTTAAAAATATTACACTTTGATAATATTATTAAGATTAAATTTTACGTGAGATAATATTGGTTTTAAAACTTTTATTATCCTGATTTTATTTAAAAAAAATTTCGGTAAATTAAAAGATGAATTACACTCTTAAGAACAAGATTTTGTTTTATTAGTATGCCAAAATTTTCAATAATAACTAAGTACTAAAGAGATTAAAGAATGTGACGGGCCATCATCACCTAATAAAATTGATTATCACGTGACAAGAGTTGATTAATGAGTCACATAATAACATAAGAATATATTTAATTTAATTAATTCTACTAATAATAATAAAGAAATGAATCTGAGTTTAAGTTAATGTCTGGCCGCGATCCCCGTTGTTCCATTTGTACTATTGTTTTATTTGCTATCCACAGATTCGTATTTTCCTCTCTTTTCCTAAAATTCTCATTCTCTCCAATTTTTTAATTTTCTTCTTCCCAACATTCTTCTATTTTGGCATCTCATTTCTTGGACATCGTTGCAAATTCACACTTTCCATGTTCATCCCAAACAGGTTAATTTATCATCTGCATTTGTTACGAATCCGCATGATCCATTTTTGTTGTATCCGTGTTTGTGATAGATTGCTAACTAGCTCGTCAACTTTTATTTTTATTTTTTATTTTTGGTTTCTTTAGTTTTAGGGTTCCTCTGTATGTTCGTAGTTCCATGCACTTGTCCTGATTTTGATGCCGCAAATTGTTCAACACAACATTAAACTTTCTTTTTCTTTTTCTATTAAAGTGGTTTCGTAAATTTGTGTTTCTGTTAAATGTCAAGTAAATGCTTGATATAGATCACAGTAAGGTATCTGAATTTCACAATTGAGAGGGTGAGTGGCGCATAATAGAAGAGGGAGAGAACCAGTTTTACGGTCGGAAGTGTTAATTTGGATTGGTTTCTTGAGTGATATGTTGGACTACAGGCAAATTACATTGCACAGGGAGGAGGAGGGAGTAAAAAGTGGAAACCAATTGGCAATGGGGATGATCAAACTAATGACAACACAAGATTATGGTTACACTGTCAAATAAATAGTTACTGCTTTAAACTGTGTGTATTGTTAGCAGTTGCCAGTTTTTTCAGGATTTGATAAACTTTGTAACGTGTACATACTTCTCTTGTCTAGTCTTCGAGTGTATATGTGTTGACTGAAGCTGAAGTTTTTTGTTCTTTTTTGTTAGAGCATTCTTTTTTCTAATTTCATTTCCATAGATTCCATAGGCCACTGACATTTTGAGTTTCAACTCTTTCAAAAATGCGAGTTTGTTCTTCACTTTTTTATTTTATTTGTAATTTAATGCTTATGCAGGATGAAGGTAGGCTTTAATGGATTAAGGGGTAAAGAAATTTCGCTTATTTCTATTGTTCTCATGTCTGCAACTATCATTTTTTGGTCATGGGAGAAAATGCCTGGTCTTAATAACTTTCTTCCTCCTCAAACACCACCACTGCAGTTGTCTTCAGGTTAACTTCCATTTATATAATTGTTTTCTTGAGAAATACTTTTACTAATTTTGTACCCTATCAATATGACAAAAAAAATTTAAAATTTTCTTTGATAAAAGTAAAGGTACATGACTTGTTAATGTTTCTCTAACATTAATATTTACAGACCAAACAACCATCTGGCTTAGATTTTGTAGCCAGGATATGAAAGTTCATACTATATAGAGCCCCTTGCACTTTCTAATTTCAGTACTGATTTTGGGAGACTTGTTTTACATGTGTGCAGATCATTTAGTTACTACTCGTTCAGTCGAGGTGCTAACACCAGATATTCGTTTGGGTGAAGATGGCTCATCATTGGCAAAGAAAAAGACCACCCATGAGCCAGAAGAACTACATCTGGATGGAGCATCCGAGACGGTTCCTGCACAAAGCTCTTCTGGAAAGAACATGGGTGAAGATGGCTCATTGTTGGCAAAGAAAGAGACCACCTATGAGCTGAAAGAAGAACAACGTCTTGAGGGAGCTTCACAGAGGATTCCTTCACAAAGCTCTTCTGGAAAGAACATTGGTGAAGATGGCCCATCATTGGCAAAGGAAAAGACTGCTAATGAACAGGAAAAACTACACCTCGAGGGAGCATCTCCGAGGGTTCCTACACAAACCTCTTATGAAAAAAACATGGCTGAAGATGGCCCATCATTGGCAGAGGAAAAGGCCACCAATGATCTGAAAGAAGCAATACATCTTGAGGGAGCATCACATATGATTCCTTCACAAAGCACTTCTGGAAAGAATATTGGTGAATATGGCCCATCACTGGCAAAGGAAAAGACCGCTAATGAACCAGAAAAATTACATCTCGAGCGATCATCACAGATGGTTCCTGCACAAACCTCTTTTGAAAGAAACATGGGTGAAGATGATCCATCATTGGAAAATGAACCAGAAAAACTACATCTTGAGGGAGCGTCACAGACGGCTCCTACACAAACCTCTTCTGGAGAAATCATGGGTGAAGATGGGCCATCATTAGGAATGGAAAAGACCACTAATGAGCCAGAAAAACTAAATCTAGAGGGAGCATTGCAGATGGTTCCCGCACAAAGAACATCTGGAAAGAACATGGGTGAAGATGACTCATCATTGGCAAAGAAAAAGATCACCAATGAGCCAGATGAACTACATTTTGAGGGAGCATCGGGAATGGTTCCTTCACAAAACTCTTCTGAAAAGAATGTGGATGAAAGTAACACCAGAAAAAAACGTAAGATATTATTTTCTTTAACCCATCCTCTATGGTTTTGAAGGGTTTAAAATGTCTCATGATGTGGTTCCATTCCCTGTTCCAAAGGAGCATATAAGCATTTGTGACCTTTACATATAGTGCCTGATTTATTTACTTATCTGTTGTTTGTTGTAGTGCTACATTCAATTGTGCTAAGCTAGGTTGATAGGGTTAACTTAAAGTATTGTTTGATACGAGCAACTTCTTCCAATAATACATTTAGTAGATGTCAACATCCTTTTAGCAACTGCTAAAGTAAATAATAGAGACGAATGAGTAACATCAATGTGTATATTATGCACAACAGAGTAACAAATATATGTAGATATCATGATACAAAAAGAGATGGACTATTTTTAATAGCAACAAAACCATTATTACGGGGTGTTTGTGTTTTACTCTCCCTCCTGGTTAATCTCGTTTTAGTTGGGGCTTAAATCTTAAATTTTGTTGTGATGGTGTAGAAATTCGTTCAAGTGTGTCAGATGAAGAAGCAAAACATAAAAGAATCTCAGAAGGTGGGGAAAACCATGATGTACAAACATTTTCCAGCCTAATAACATCTGGGGCTGCAAAGAATGAAGCTAAAGAGGAGAAAACTTTGACTTTGAAACAAGAAGAAAATGAGCATAAAAAAGATTCTGTGACAAACTCTCCACAAATAAGCTCTTCAGTCGTTGGGAAAGACAACAATTGGAATAATTCTACAGAAAGTAAAGGTACAGTTCTTTTGGCCAATCATCTACACAACTCTATTTCCGAGTTTCTCTCCTTAGGATGAGTTGCAAGGAAGTCAATACATGCTTTTAAAATTGATTTTTAAAAAGATATTCCTTTTGGAGAATATCTGTGGATTTTTCTAAGTAACTCGGTTATTTAATTGTTTCTAAAGAAAACTTGAAACATTAGGTCAATTTGTTTCAAATTTGGATAAATTGATTTTGATGAAACTAATTTTAAACTGTTAAACGAATGTGTGCTCAAATTATTTTCAGCTTCTGATTTTGCGTGGAATGTGTCACAATAAGAGGAATTGGTTCTGCAGATGGGCCAAATAGGCAGATTCTTGTTCTGATTATTTTCCAATAATAATAAAGGGGAACTCCTAACATATCCAGGAAACTTTTTTTATTTTACGTAAGAATTGTTGAAAACTTTTATAATTATCTATGTTTAGATTGTTTACAGGTTTGTTTGGTCATTTACAAGGGAATTATCTATTATTCTGGTAACACTCACTCAGAACTTTGAGTAGGTGTAGTTATTTACTACTCCTATGAAAACGATGTTCACATATTATACAACCTTGCTTAAACTTTCTAAATGCTCCTGTTTGCTCCATCATCCATAAAAAAGGATATTCTTCTACAGGAGAGATACACCATGTACATTTGTTAGACTAATGAACAGTATTTGCAAGTATTGATAACTAATGTATGCTTCCTTGTTGACACCCTTTGTCCAGCCTGTAACTATGCAAAAGGAAAATGGGTTCCAGACAACAATCGACCTTTATATTCAGGTTTTGGTTGCAGACAGTGGCTATCACCAATGTGGGCTTGCCGCTTGATGCAGCGTACTGATTTTGAATATGAGAGGCTTCGATGGCAACCGAAGGAATGTCAAATGGAGGAATTTGAAGGTTCTAAATTCTTGAGAAGGTATTTCATTCATCCATATTCAGAACTATGGGTTGATATTTTGAGTAATTGTATATGATTCCATGCTGAACATTGTGTTTTTTAATTCCTTCTACCCATAGATTCATTCAAATTTATCCAGGCATAGATTGCTCCTCAATTGTCGGGAAGGAGGGCTTGTCAACTTTGGCTGAGTGCATGTGTAATTTTGTGTGATTTGATGCTGAGCATTGTGTTTTTCAATTCCTTGTACCCATATATTCATTCAAAGCTGTTGAGACATAAGGTGCTCCACAATTGATGTTGAACATTGTGTTTACGCATATAATCACAAGATTGATGCTTTTTGAGACGCCCTTTTTTACCTTTGCGGATTTCCTCTGATTTAGAAAACAAATTCCCCCAAACTTTCTCATCTACATTTTCAGTTTTCTTATTGGCTTGTTTTTGGGTTCCACAGGAAAAAAAGGAAGTTCATGAACATACGACCAATTGATAATAAGTTTTGTACTTTCAGGATGCAAAACAAAACTCTAGCTTTTGTTGGAGACTCATTGGGGCGACAACAGTTCCAGTCTTTAATGTGCATGATCTCCGGTGGTAAGGATAAGCTTCATGTTGAGGATGTGGGGAGGGAGTATGGACTGGTTATAGCTGGTGGCTCTGCCCGTCCTAATGGGTGGGCGTTTCGCTTCTCAAGCACTAATACTACCATCCTGTACTACTGGTCAGCAAGCCTTTGTGATGTTGAACCTATTGATATAAACAACCCAAACACCGATTATGCAATGCATCTTGATCGACCACCGGCATTCTTGCGTCAATATCTCCACAAGTTCAATGTCTTGGTTCTCAACACAGGTCACCACTGGAATCGGGGAAAGCTAAAGGCTAATAGATGGGTAATGCATGTTGGTGGTGTGCCAAATATTGATAGGAAGATAGCAGTGATCTGGGCCGCCAAGAATCTTGCAATTCACAGTATTGTTAGTTGGGTGAATTCACAGCTTCCAAAATATCCAGGTCTAAAAGCATTCCTTCGGACCATCTCTCCTAGGCATTTTTTTGGTGGGGAGTGGAACACAGGAGGCAGCTGCGACAACACCAAACCAATGTCTATTGGAAAGGAAATATTGGAAGAAGAGTCCAGTGATCAAGGTGCTGCACATGCGGTAAAGGGAACAGGTGTTAAGCTCTTGGACATTACAGCTCTTTCTCAGCTCAGGGATGAGGCTCATATATCACGGTTCAGTATTACAGCAAAGCCTGGTGTGCAGGATTGCTTACA